GCGGAGCTTCACTATTTGCCCCCCCCCCCCGAGGCTGGGCAACCATGAATAATCCCCGCGTTCATATATTGTTTGACCTTTGCACGCGTGAGCCTACCGTGCCGTGGCAACACACACACACACATATATATATATACACCACACACATACATATATACACATATGTATATAATTATGTACACATCTACATCTATACACGCATATCAGCAAGATGTGAAAGAGGGGAGACGGGATCTTGAGGCCCCCCAGGACGAGCGCCAACCAATCATGGGCAATAGAGAGGGGGAGGCTTCGGGATAATCAGCGAAGGCAAGGAGGGGGGCGTGGTTCAGGGCGCCCCCTCTCGATCCCGCGACTCCGGCTTCAGCGTCTAGCGCCGAAGCCGAAGTTGTGGCCGACGCCGACGCCTCCCCGAAGCGGATCTCTGGCACCTGCAGCTGCCAGGGCGAGGCCCCTCCCCGCTGAGTTCGCGATGATCTTACGGTCGGCGCCCCCCAGCCGAGAGGCCGCGGGCCGGCGCGCGCCCTTGCCGCGAATGCGGCGTCCTCAGGGGCCCCGCTCTTGGCAATAAATGCTCCGCGCGTGTCGTTCAAGCTGAGCGGTCTCTGTTTTTCTCGGGGGACCCACTGGAGAGCATCTGCTAGGAGCTCCGCGCCGATGGGGCGACGGAGCCAAGCCGAGCACGGTTGCCCATCTGGGCCAGCTGCGCTCTCGGGGAACGCCTTGAGGACCCACGGAGTCACGTGGGATTCAGGGGGGCAGATGTTCGTGGAATCGTGCTCGGTGCCAAAGCGCCGAATCGACTCGCGAGCCTTCTCGGACTCGATCGGGCCCCGATGGAGCGCCACCCGCATCATGCAGTCGCGCGGATCCGTCGCGTCGCCGCCCCCCCCCCTCGGGATGGCTGACCCCTTGTAGACAGATCTGCCTGCCAAAGGAAGCCAACGGCGACGCCTTCTGTCAAGTCCTCTGATCCTACGCCCGAGCTTGGCGCGCACCTTTGCTGCGGATGGTTTTGCCGCCTCCAGGCGCGCGGACTGGATCGCAGAAAGGTTGGGCCTGAAGTTCGGCCCATTGGAGACCATTGCGAACGCGTCGGGGTCCGCGATCTCGACTGCCCACGATCGACGCCGCGCGCGAATGGGCTGCTCGGCATGCGGGTGGGAAGGCTGGAGTTCTTCAGCTAGACGGCAGTCCAAATTCCAAACAGCACGGCCGATCGAGCGAACCGCAAACAGCTGAGCCACGGGGCCGCCGGGCCCCATGGAAACCACGGCGCCCCTGGCCCTTCTGGCAGCCCCCCTTTCGTCCAAGACAGGCGAAAAACAAGCTTCTCGGGAAATGACGTGGCCGAGCAGTCAACCTGCCGCGAGACTTCGTCAGGGAACTCCCTGCGCTGTGGGTTCCGTGAAGATCCCTGGATGAATCTGTCTGTCTTCGGTCTGAACTGCTGCCTGCACCGCTGTCCAGCCAGGCAGGCCAGTGAAAGCGCGGTCGACCCTCGACATCGCGTGCGGCGAAACATTGCGGCGCGCGACATCCCCGCCCCCCCGCCCCCCCTTTCACCTCCACCATGGCAGAGAAGACATTGGCCCGGCCAACCTCCCTCTCCCTCCTCCACTGCTGCCCGCGATTGTTTTCCTGCCGTGCCTGATCTCCTCCTCGTTTGAACCGCCAGCGCGAAGACGCGGCGGGGGCTTGGCGACAAGTTTGAAACCGCCGCGCACAATGACCGCGCGCTCTCCCGGGCACTCGACAGTCGGCGAGGACGCGCTTGACAACCAGATCCCTCTTGAAGGGCTGAGGGGTGGCTTAGGTTGAAACTGCGCGCGCGATTGCAAATGGCGCGGGCTGCTCTCCCAAACGTGAGCTGAATCCGCAGGGCCCCCCCCCGGGAACCAGAACCCGCATGCCCTCGGCCGGCGGGGGCTCGCGGTCCAAAATCCCGAGGTCTGGGCGCAGCGTGACCGCGCCGCCCGCGGGGTCCAGCGCAAGACCGGCTTGGAACTGGATATCGAAGCGCTTCGACGCTGGGCCACCGATGACTTCACATGGCTTGGGTGACAGTTCACCGCTGCTATCCACTCTGCAATAGCGAATGCCACGCGCTCCTTCTGAACCAAAGACTTGCACCGCGCTCGGCTATCTGTTGAGATGCGTGTCGACCTCGATCTTAGGTTTCTCGTTGTGTATGGTTCCGGGGGTATGTTCCATCTGCTTGGTTCTGCCTTCGAGCTGCAAGGTATGCTGCCCAAACTTGTTATGTTTGTTTCTCGACGTGGCCCATGCGACGGGCCATCAGCTGCCCCAACGAGCTGCGTGCGGCTTGGACAATGTCGGCCATGCTGGTGACCAGACTCTTGCGTGTGCTGATGGCACCGAGAAGCGAGGCTTTCTTACCATCAACATATCTGCATACAGCATGACCCGCCTGCTCTTGCTCTGGGAACGTTATCGTGGGTTCGAAGACATCATCGGCCGTTTCGTCATACGGCGGCGGATCATTAATTCCTTTCCCCACTCTCTGAATCTTACTGGACGGAGCGCCAAGCTGACCACTAACGTCAACATACACACTCCAAACACCCTTGGAACCGCTCGACATGGCGACGCCCGTGGCAGAACTGCTGGGGCTGCTGAACACCCTCTCTGGCACTGAGGAGCAGAGTCGTGGTGGTAAGGCCACGGGAAGGGGATCGTGAAATGGGCCGCGGGCGCTTGCCCCAAGCAATCTGGACCGATCGCGTGAGCCAAAAGCTACGGGCCTCCTGCCCATCCTCCTCCTCTGCCTCCTCCTCCTCCTCTTCCTCCTCCTCCGCCTGTTTCTTAGGCAAAATGCGAGGCACACAACTGGAATGTAATCCCCTGCCTCCTCCGCCTCCTCCTCCTCATCCATTCCTTCTGCTAATCGATCACTCTTCTCTGTCGCACCCCGAGGCCGGTCGGAAGGGCGCGCCAGCCGTTTCGCCGGAGACTTCGTCACCATTTCTGATCCTCAACCTTACGAAAACGACATCAGCTTCACACATGAAAGGCGGGCCGTTTTCAGAATGTGGCTCCCGCCTTAGCACCACGCGCATTTGTTTTGTGGATATCGCCTTAGCGCCGCGCGCATTCGTTTGAACCATTTGCAAAAGCTTCATGTATTGAGGGCGTGTGGTTTCCAAAATCTGGCTCTCGCCGTAGCGCCTCGCACACCCATTGAAAAACATGCAAGAGCTTCACGGATTGAGGGCGTGCCGTTTTCAAAATGTGGCTCTCGCCTTAACGCCGCGCAGATTCATGTTAAGATTTCGCAAGCGTGTCATTGATTCTTATGTTTAACATACATCACGTGGCGTTTTGGAATCATTCAAGATTGTCAGGGCGCAGCGCTTAAGCTGATTCGCGGTGTCGAAGTCTAAGGCATGGTCCTCTGGCACGCTTCAGGCACGCCCAAACGTATCAGTCAGGTGAACTCGTAGCGTTGAAGTCCTGAGAACTTCTGGATTTTCGCACGGTTGCCCCCCTACGGGGCAATTCCCTCAGTGAAAATGCACAATGGTAGGGGCCCGAGAAGAGGACAAGAGGGAGCTTGGAGGGAGGGTGTATTCCAACATCGTTGATGAGTCTTGGGCTTACACTGGTCCTCCTCCGCCTCCTCCTCCTCCTCCTCCTCCTCTCACTCCTCCTCCTCCTCCTCCTCCTCCTCCTCCTCCTCCTCCTCCTCCTCCTCCTCCCTCCTCCTCCTCCTCCTCCTCCTCCTCCTCCTCCTCCTCCTCCTCCTCCTCCTCCTCCTCCTCCTCCTCCTCCTCCTCCTCCTCCTCCTCCTCCTCCTCCTCCTCCTCCTCCTCTCACTCCTCCTCCTCCTCCTCCTCCTCCTCTCCTCCTCCTCCTCCTCCTCCTCCTCCTCCTCCTCCTCCTCCTCTCACTCCTCCTCCGCCTCCGCCTCCTCCTCCTCCTCCTCCTCCTCCTCCTCCTGACTCACTTCCTGGCTGCTGCTGTATGCTCCACCTGCTGCTCATCCTGCTCTTACACATCCCCCCGCCCACCCTTCACCCCGAAACATCTGCCCTCCCTCCTCACAGCTCCTTTCTTCTTCGCCCTCCTCCTGTCCTGCACTCTCCCGCTCAAGCTCCCGAGTCTCCCTGCCCTCCCCCTCCACCTCCAAGGCCACGAAGCTGGCGGCGGCAGCTGCGATGCAGATGACGACGGCGGAGGCGGCTGCGGCGACTACCACGGACGAACCCCCAAAGCTGCAGGTCTGCTGGCCTACGTGTTGCTTGAGGCGCGCGGGCATGAGAACTGCGTCCGGGTCGACCTTCCCGCTCACGGCGCTGAAGACGGTCAGAAGTGAGGGGCTCTGGAAAAGGAGCCTGCAATCAACGTTTTACCAAATGCAACAGTGGACGGGAAACGAAACCATTTGTCGACGCCTCTTGTACTCAAATGGAAGCGCTCGAGGAACAACCTAGAAGTACCTCTGGAGCCTCCAGCCCCATCAAAGAAAGGTAACGAGCACACATGGAAACCCGAAACCTTCAAAAGATAGGGTGCTCAGCACAGCGGGGAACGCCCCTGTGCATCGCCGAAAGATGGCCCTCGCTGCAGGCGCTACGGAGCGCCGCCGTCGCACAGCCAGCACGAGCTTCCACGCCTCCACCTCGACTTCGACCTGCCATGCCACACCCGATCTACTCATGCCGAGAACCACTTGATCACTGGTTTCGGGCATCGACAAGTCGATCGGCGGATCGGGCACCCACTTAGTGTCTTCCCCTGTCTCCGAACGCAATGAGCAGCCGAAGATACATGACGGCACAAACGCGCGCGGCACGAACCGCTCGACGCCAACGCGGCACCCCCCGCAGAAGAGAAGGCGCTTGCGCATGACCTCACGTGGGCAGATTAAGCGCGCATGCCGGCGCAATGATGACGCGCGCAGAGGTGCGCGCGAGCCTCAATCCCGAGCGCTGGGTACGGGGGCGGGGTAGGGACGCGAGCCAGCCACGACAGCTCTTTCCACGTATCGGACGCACGCCGTCTCAGTCTATGGACGAGCGCGTTCCACTATTCGCAAAGTCCGCCGGCCCCCTTGTGGGGCCACCAGGCTGTAGGGCGAAGGTTCGCAGTTTCCTGTACCAGTTGCAGCTTCCAGTTTCCACTGATACAGTTCTGCTTCTTGCTGCTTACTGTCCCTTGCTGATAGACCGCGCGAGGGGGGGAGGCCCAAACGGGCAGGTTTAGCACGCCCTGAGCGTGTGCTCTGAATTGCTGGGGTGGGTAAAAATTAACACCCCTCACGCAGATCGGCGGGGTCAGGGTCCAACAACAAACGGGATGTGCCACATTTCTGAACTTCGATGACACCCCTCACGCAGATCCGAAGGGTCAGGGTTCAAACACACAGAGGGGATTTGCCACATTTCTGAAATTCGCTGGCACCCCTCACGCAGATCGGCGGGGTCAGGGTCCAAAAACGCATTGGATTTGCTACATTTCTGACATTCGGTGGGACCCCTCACGCAGATCGGCGGGGTCAGGGTCCAAAAACACATGGGATATGCCACATTTTTGAAATTCGCTGGCACCCCTCAAGCAGATCGGCGGGGTCAGGGTCTGAAAACCCAAGGGATTCTCAACATTTCTGAAATTCAGTGGCACCCCTCACGCGGATCGACAGGGTCAGGGTCTAAAAACACAAGGGATTTGCTACATTTCTGACATTCGGCGGCACCCCTCACGCAGATCCGAAGGGTCAGGGTCCCACCACACAGAGGGGATTTGCTACATTTCTGACATTCGGTGGCACCCCTCACGCAGATCCGTAGGGTCAGGGTCGAAAAACAAACAGGTCCCGACACTGCTTCACGGCGGCGCCCAGACCTATGATTTAGCTTTTGCATCTCCCATTATCCGAGACAGGGGGCCGGCGGCATGGGGCGAAGCCCTTACGGATACATACTCGCAAATGGCCTGGATCCGGCGCGTAGGATCTACGATAAAGTTCGTCGAAGCAAACAAATGGTTCTCGGGCGTTAGCGAGTAGGCACTTTGCGAGTAGCGGAACGCACTCGCTGAGACTAGCAACACTGACAAACCTGTGTGACGAGTAAGCAGAGAGGTCAACCACTCGAATTGCCCCACGGAGCGAGCGTCCCAGGGGGTGGGAGGGCTGGCGTGGTGGGATCACCTGTCAAGACACTGGGAGCGGACAGGAGAGAGTTCACGATGGAGGTCAGCGGTGGAGCCTCTTTGCTGCGTCTCCCGTTGTCGCACATTTCTCCGAAGGTGCGCTCTGTAATCTTGGCTCCAGCAAACAAATACGCTACCGACATTTGTGCGGATATGCCAAGAATAAACGGGTTCACAGGCGACGCAACTGATGCGGCGCAGAAGGATACAAGGGGCCTGGGCAACCGACTGAGACAATACTAAAAAGAAGACAATTGAATCGACTACTATACGGAACCATCACGAGATCTTCTTCCGGTACATGAAGATCTCCTGCTGCTTGAAATATCTCCGGTCCTCCTCGGGGGATCTGCTAGCCACTGCTGGTCACGCCAAGGAGGTACCTCATTGCCCAACGCTGCAGGCGTCGCGAAGAAATGCCGACGGACGTTTTCCGCAAGTTCTGGCCCCAAGAGGCCTGTTCTGGGCTCCAGGGGGGGGGCCATCAGAGAATAACCCGCGGCGAAAAACCGATCCCCAAGATAAGGTCGAGGTCTGTAGGGGCCCGCGTCGCGGAAACGTCACGACGTCGGAGGTCTGGGAGGCACCTCCGTTGACTTCCTCCCTCCTGCCTCCTCCGTCCTCCCTCCGCCGTCCTCCCTCCACCTCCGTCGATAGTGAACCCGTCGACGGACGCATGAGCAGGCGAAGACGGATTGGGACCAAGGCAACTCAGAAGCGGGGCCCATCGAGAGAGCACCAGGAGCACTCCCTGCGGCAGGTGGGGCGCCCGTGAGTGCCACCACGTTCCGCCCGCCGAGGGTTCGGAGACGTCAGCGCCTTGGAGCGTGCGCGCAAGCGGGCCGACTACAGTGGGGGCCCGACCACAAAAAATCGTCCGAAAGAAATCCAACCTTGAGACCCCAAGACGTCCGTTGATTATGGTGTGAGAACGTCACGCTTTCGAAGGCAAAGCCATCCAAACCCAAGAAATCCAGGGCACCCTGGAGGCAAGCAGGGTGTCTCTTGGCATGGGTCTCCACTGTAAGGATGCTAGGAGCGTCTTGGAGGGCCATGCTGGCCTTTTCGAGCGGGGCTGGCCAGCGAGACTCGCCGAGGACAGGCCGAAGGGGCAGGGATGCATAGGTATAGCCCTGGAGCGCTGCCCATCCTTCCTGTGCGACCTGACTGTAACTTTTCCAAAGCTGACGTCATGGATCGCGCGGTACGGTTAGGTCGGGCATGTCCTCCTACAGGGGCATGTTCGACGAAAAATGAAACGAATCAACAAATATTCAAAAATGGTTCAAAATTGCTCAAATGATCGCCCCCATACTTTTTGTTGACTACTTCTGGACATTCCTCCTGTAGGGGGACAGTCCCGACTTTCAGAGAACGGGGGCCACCGACGATGCTCTCGACGGCGCGAGGGCCCGGACGAGCGCAGCCTCCCGAATGCCTGCGTGGGCGGCAGCCCACGCGGTGGCGACCAAGATCGGCGGCGAGCCCGGCGGGGAAACGAGCACGGGGCGGGCACTCTCCCGGGAACCTCAGGTCGGGCACGTCCCCCTGCAGGCGGATTCTGGACGAAAAATCAGAGATGGCCAAAAAAAATCCAAGCATGGACAAACAGTCATCGACAACATCGTCCCCAGACTATTTGTTTGACCATTCTGGGATGGTCGTTCCTCCTGTGGAGGGACGCGCCCGCCCCAAACAGAAGGCTCGGGCGCCAGCCGTCCCCGAGAAGACGCGGAGCACCCCCCGGGAGGCGCGGGGGCCTCGCTGGGAAGGCCCCGCCAACGCTCTGAAGGGGCGCGGCCTCGGGAACCGACCCCTGGCAGACCGCCCCCTCCCCGACCAGCCATAACTGGGAGAGCCGTGATCCTTACCACTCCAGGGAAACCCATCGCATTGACGATCTCTCGAGAGGGGTGTCGAAATCGATGGGTCCCCCAGGGGGTAAGGACCACAGCTCCCCCAGTTGTGGCTGGCATGCCTCCCGTGACGCCAGCCTCGCCACTCGAGCGCCTCTCCGGCCGCATGCACACGCCTTGGGGCGAGGCGAGGGGGGCGTCACGGAAGGGGACGGCTTGCTAGGGTTCGGTCGGGCGTGTCCTCCTGCAGGCGGACTTTTTGGGCGAAACATTAGAAGAAAGGGTCCAGAAATCTTAAAGAATGGCCAACAATTGATAAGAAATCGCCCCCTGACTATTGTTGGACTCTTTTTGGAGATTCCGCATTCCTCCTGTGAAGGGACACGCCCGACGTACCAGAGGGCGAGAGGGGGGACGTCACGGCGGGGGACGGTCTGCCAGGGGTCAGCGAAGGCCGCCCCTGCCTCCCCGCGAAGGCCTCCCTCCCCGCCAAGGCCTCCACGGCCAGGAGGAGCCGGCGGGGCGGGGCTGCTCCCGGGCCCGCGGGCGGGCACGGGGCCGTGCGCCTCCCCCCGGCGCCCGGCCGGCACAGGCCGGGGCGCACTGCCCAGCGCGCGCGGCGGGGCGGGAGGAGATCACGCAGCCTCCGCCCGCGACCACGCCGGGCGCGGCGCGAGGAAGGCAGCGCCGGCCCTCGGATCTCGGCGTTGCAATCTTTTCGGAGCGGGCGTTTTCGCCCAAATGAGAGCCCGAAAAATGGCGCACAAAGATGGAGTCTAGGGCTCTGGTCGTAATTTTTCACGATGTTGCGATTTCCTTGTGACGTCGGATGTGAGGGGAGCCCCTCTGCTCTCGGAGCACGCACCGTCCCGTTCGACCTGGCAGGGAGACCCCGCAGGCACCCGCGAAGATGACTAGGCGAGCCTTCGCAGGTGAACACGAGGCTCCTTTGGAACGTTCTGCTGTCCAGCCCGAGCAGACGTCCGCGGGAGGTGCGTCAGCCTCCATGCGCCTTCCAGTCGAGCTTCGAAGGGGAAGTAGCGGTTGTCCTCAACTCGCTGGCCGACCAGGCGGTCAAGCAAGCATTCGACCTGTGGCCGAGGGGCGTGCGCCAGGAGTGAGGTACTGCTCGAGGGTGCCTGCGCGGAGATCAAGCGAGGGCTGGGCCCACTTGTGGCCACGCACGCGTGACCATAGTAGGGGAACAACAAGTGACATGAACATGAAGACACTGAGGTCCGCGCGGATTTCTCGGATCGGCGCTGGAACCCCCTTCCCTGGCGCGCGGAGCGCGCCGGAGGCGGCGCCCGAGGCGCCGCCGGGGGGCCCGAGCGCCGATCCGAGAAATCCGCGCGGACCTCCGAGTTTTTATGTTTATGCCACTTGTTGTTCCCCCACATCGGGCCGTCAAAGCCTTTTCCTCCAGCACGTCCTCGACGAGGCCACCCACGAGCGCTGGAGACGTGCCCAGCGCCTGCGCGACCTTATGAAGCCGAAGGCTTCCACGGCCCCCGGGGTGCGGGGGCGAAGCGTCCGAGGGCTGGAGCGGACTTCGAGGGTCCGCCTCCTCGCACGTCCAGGAGGAGGAGGAGGAGGAGGAGGAGGAGGAGGAGGAGGAGGAAGGAGGAGGAGGAGGAGGAGGAGGAGGAGGAGGAGGACTCTGCGGCACCAACGTCGGCCCACGCGGGGCCACGCCACGGCAGGGCGATGCTCTGCGGTGCGCCCTGCGTCACGCGTGCACAGTATACGCGCAGCTCCAGCCTCGTGGGCTGGCCCACCTCTGCCAAGCGGGACGTCCTGGACCGGACGGGCAGGGAGCGGCGAAGTCGCCACGAGCGAGGCCCTCTCCGCGCACAGGACGGAAGGTGGTGGTCCCAGAGCAGCGGCCCCTCCGGGACCTGGATCTCCTCACTCGATTACGGTGAGCGTGCGCGGGCGGAGGCCCCCTTCGCCAGCTGGCACCGTCGGCGCCTGCTGGAGGAAGACGACAGTCTCCAAGCCACTCGACTTCGCACCGCGCGACGCGCGCCTGTCTCCGCTCCCTCACAGCAGCCCCCTGGAGGAGCGGGTCCAGCCCAGACCTCGCAGCCGTCATCTGCGCGCCCATCTGTCGGGGGCGCGCAAACATGGATGAGCGATCAATGGGTTTGGCGCGCGGTCGCCAAATCCATGGATCGGGAGAGGTGCCCCGAAATGCGGCCGGTGCCGCCTCACTCGGCGGCGGAATCCGCGATTTCCCTTGGAAATGGGACCCGTCGCTAATCCACACCCCCTTGATCCATGTTTGCGATCGCCTGACATCTGGGTGACTCAGCCTGTCCGGCTCGTCCTACCGCTGCCCCCGCTGCCGCTGCTGAGGGCTCTCTTGTCTGCCAGCTGCTCAGACTGGCTGCAGGATGGGACTTCAGCGAGAGCTGGCACGCCCGAAACAGGGACGGCAACAATGCGGACGACGTCCAGTCTGACGTCCGACAGCAACATTTTTTCAGAAGGAGCGAGGAGTCGCTAGCGACCAGCAGGGGAGGAGGAGGAGGAGGAGGAGGAGGCAGGAGGAGGAGGAGGAGGAGGAGGAGGAAAGAGGGGGGAACAGAAAGCACACAGACACGCTTACCAGGAGAAGCGACGTCCAACAGCAACAATGCGGTCCGAAGCCGACGGCGGCCGCTGCTGAGCGAGCCACGTCTGCCCCAGGCGTGATGGACGTCCGCGGCGGCACCGACAGCGAGTGCTGCTCGGGGTGTGCAGGACTGGCAGCGTGCACAAGGGGGCGGAGGGGAGGATGAGAAGGAGGAGGAGGAGGAGGAGAAGGAGGAGAAGGAGGAGAAGGAGGAGGAGGAGAAGGAGGAGAAGGAGGAGGAGAAAGGAGGAGGAGGGGGAAGGCTTCTTGGAAGGAGGCTGCTTCCTAGGGGCCCTTCGCCCTCCCCCCATCCCCCCCAACCTCTGGCTGTTCTGACTGGCTGCCTGCTTGGGCGGGCGTCTTGGGGACCGCCCAGGAGGATGGGTGGGAGCTCTGGGGAAATCCGAGTGGATTCCGAGCAGATGGCGTCGGAGGGTCGCACTGCATCGCCGGATGCATCTGCCATGCAGCAATCCGAGTCGGGATGGAGAAGATTTAGCACCAGATCGCACCGCGTCGTCCATCGCCGACGCACTGGCGATGCGGCGTGGTCCTCGGAGCCCATGCACGCCAACCCCCTCTGGGCGACCTGGATCTGCTGTCTGCCGGGTGCTCGGATCGGCTGCGGGACAGGGGGCGGATGAGAACTTCGCGACTTGGACCGACGACCTGAACGTTTACGGCAGGGCCGTGCCGTGCCGACTTCGGCGTTGGTTTCTGACACCGCGGGGATCTTTCAACCTTGATCGATCGCCCGTTTCCGAAACGTCATGCGAAGTGGGGATTCATACATATCAACCGCCTGGGAACCAACGCTCTGGTGCCCTGGCGGACGGTGGCTGTGGATATACTCTGGCCCCCTACGGGGGCCCGAATGTGTCCATGTCCACCGCCTGCCTGGGTCCCCGAGAATCGATCCTCCAGGTGGTGGTCATGTATAAATTCCCGCCTCGGACGTCCACGACGACGACGACGACGACGACGACGACGGCGACGACGTAGCCCCGACCGACGACCAATCGACTCTGGGCCGCAGGCGGCGTTCCGCGCTGCACGCCGGCGGCCGGGCCGCAGGCCGGCCGGCACGGCGCGAGCCTGCCGCAGACGCTGGCCCGCGGGTAGACCCGCGGAGTCAGGGGCCTGCCCTCCCCCCCCCCCTTTCGCGCCGCCGAGCCTCGCACATCAGTCCTCCTCCTCCTCCTCCTCCTCCTCCTCCTCCTCCTCCTCCTCCTCCTCCTCTGGCGAGCCCGATGCCGGAGAAGCCGGCTGCCACTCCAGCGGTGCACTCGTGGCCTCTGGCCGCCAGGTGCGCCTGTGCAAAGGCACCTCGCTCGGAAGAGGTAGGTAAAAGCGTGGAGTCGGAAGGCTGACACAGCAGGTTGGGTTCATGCCCTCCCCCCCCCCCCCCAGAAAAACAGAACAATCATAGCGATTCTTGAAGTCGGAAGGCGCTAGAAGACGAGTGGGATTTGGGGAAACGGACAAAGCAAAACAAAAGTCGAGTCCATTATTCAAGTCGGAAAGCGGACAAAGCAGGTTGGGTTCAGGCCATCCGAGAGAATAACAACACACATAAGAATGGCATCGATTCTTGAAGTCGGAAGGCACTAGAGGTGGATTGGGGTATGGGAGTCCAGAGGTACTTACTTTCGACGACCGGCGTGTCATCCAACAAAAAAAACTCCGAATGGCAGGATGACGCTGCGGTCTTCCTCAACAGAAGTGGTACGATGTGCGCTACAAATGCTGATGCATCTCGTTGGCTGCAATGGACGGTCGTCGACGCATGCCCACTGACAATTTCCGAATTACATGTTTCTCGCGTCGATCGGTCCGACCAATCCTCGTCAACGAGAACCAGGTTCAAGAAATACTTCACTGAGAACTTGTTTTGCACATTCTTGTACGTGGGTGTCAAGTCGAATCCGTTCATGTATAACCTCACGGGGATGCACTGGTCCTGGCGCAAGACACACGGGCGAGCGTGAGGATCGACAACCCGCAGGGCAAGACGGGCCGCGGAGCAAAAATGCGAGGAGGGGGAGAAGGCGTTGAGTGCGAGGACGGTTAGGGGGATGCCACTGTTCCTCCACCTCTGGCTGGCACCGCACGAGCTGCAGTGGACCTCTTTGCCACGAGCCTCGCAATGGCAACAACACTTTGACCGAGGAAGGGAGAGGATGATTCAAACAATATGATCGACTCACAAAGCCGAAAAACTTTAGGAATAACGAACAACGGATGATGACAAGGAAAATGATGATGATGATGATGATGTTGATGATGATGCTAATGATGATGATGACGACGGGGAAAGGGGGCCTTGCTTCACGATTCGAAAATATGGCGTACGTGAAACGGCCCCAGCATATCCAATCCATCATTACCCCTGGGCAACGAAGACTGTCCGTCCGAAGCTGGCCTCGAGAAGCCACCGCGACAGCCGAATATGCCACGCCCCAGAACAACTCTAAGACTCTAAGGCGCTCCAAAGATGTCCCCAATGCCGCGCCAGAACAGCCCCCAAGACCACCCAGATCAAAGGAATTGCCCTGGATACCAAAAGATGATGGCAAATCGCCCCCAGTACCCCCCCCCCCCCCGCCGCTTCCACAACAGCAGGCGGAACACGAAGTGACATAGCTCAGGCAAAGCGCGGCCCAACATCTGGTCATGTGAATATTCCTAGACGTGCAGCGACGGCGGCGACCCGCGGGAGCATCCTATGCTGCCAGCGCTTGGAACCCGAACGGTTGATTATTGGGATAAGCGTGGGTGAGTCTGCGACGATCAACGGGAAACCAAACCACGCAATTTGGACGACGCCCGAAGTGGGTACGGAAAAAACGAACACGATACCCAACCATAGATATTGCCAATGATGTCCGCAACCTGTAGCCGCCACTGTTGGGCAGGCGGTCTTCTGTCTCGAATGGACAACGTCCGTGGCGACACCGACAGCGAACGATTCCTGTTCAGAATGGACAGGAACTGCTGTCGGTCTTCGTACTCTCTCGTTCCGTACCCACATCGGCCGTACCGAACAAGAGGCCCAGCGGCCGCAGGAGGCCCGGCCATATCGCTCATCCTGTCTCCTCAGAGCAGCCCAGCTGCCCACCAGGTCGCCCACTATTTGTCATTGTTTCATGTTGTGCTTCTCCGCAAAACGGCGGTGCGCCGAGGGTGCGGACATTGGCCAGGATGGCAGCTTTGGAAGCTATTTGGTGCACTACTTCGAGACGAGCAAGGGCCTCTGGGGCTCGCCGGGGAACAACGTGGGAATCGCCGAGACTTCCTCGGGCGGGCGTGAGGGATCCCAGTAAGCCCACAACACCCACGTCCTTGTGGGAAGGTGGGCACGACAAGTGCACGACTAAGAAAGGACGACGAGCAGAAAGAAAACGAAGCGAGGGTACAGCAAAATCTGTGCCACATTTCCGACCCTCCAAATCCCACCAGCCCTTTGGGGGCAGGTGATGTCAAGAATTCTTTTCTTCTCTCTGCCAACTTCCTCCTTCCCCTCCTCGGGGGACAGGTTCACACCTCCCCCCCCTACCCCACCCCCAAGGCTAGGATGGGGAGGAGCAGAGGCTTCTGAGCTTTGAGCGGCCAAGATGGCCCTAGATGGCCCAGGAAGGGCCTAAGATAAAACAGTATGGCTTCCAAGGTGGGCCAAGATATCCGAACGTGGTGCAATATAGCCTCCGACGGACCTCCAAGAGGCCCCAACATGGCCACAAGACAAGTCCAAACGTCCGTTGAGCTCCCCAGGAACACCTCCGAGAATTTCATGTCCAGGACCCCCCCCTCCCCCTCCGCCTCCGGACCCCCCCCATGCCGCCCCTTCTCGTCCCCCTCCCCGGCCCTCCTCCCTGCTCCCTTTCCCCCCCCCTCTCCCGCCTCCTCTCCGTCCTGGCCGCCGACCCTGCCTTCTCGCCCTGCCCCCCCACCCCCACCCATCCCTTCTTCGGGCGCAACCCCATCGCACCCGCCCCCCCGTCGGCGGGCAAGAAAGATTGCAAGCCGCGCGGCCCCCGCGCAGAGCGCCACGGGCAGGGGAACGCGCGTCGAGCAGGGCGGCCGCCCTGCCCCGAACGACGCCCGTCCGCCGAAACGCGCGCACAGGCGAGCCTCGGGGGACTGGGCGAATCATTTTGAACGCCCGAAGTGGGCAGGGAAAAATGGGCACAATGCCCAACAACAAATGTTGTCCCAAACCAACAGCGGCCGCTATTGGGCAGGCGGCCTTCTGTCTCAAATGGGCAGAGGTCGCGGCGGCGCGGACAGCGCGAGTCCTGTTCAAAATGAGCAAGCACTGCTGTTGGGCATTGTACCCATTCTTTCCGTACCCATTTCGTTCGTGCAAAATCATGCAGACCCCGCGGGCGCGGGCCTTCGGCCCCGCCGGAGCCCACGGGGGATGCCCGCTTCCGCGCGAAACAGCCGCCCCCGACGTGCCCACGAGTGTGCCCACGAGTTTCTGCGGCGAGGAAATCCCAAACGAAACCTTCATGTTCGGCGATGTTTCGTCGGCGAATTGTTCGGCGGGGTATTCCCGAACAAAGCATTCACTTGGGATGACGTCGCCCGGCCCTGCTGGCGGGAAAACGGAACAGGCGCGGCGCACTCTCTCGCAACAGTGGTGGTCACGCGAAAAAGGATAGTCCATCGAAAAAAACAATGGTCACACCCAAAAGAGGGGAAACTTCGACAGGCATGAATGGCCACGCCCAAAATGGTGGTGTCATAAGCAAAACATAATGGTCGCATCGAGGCAAAATTGCTGCCACACCCTACGCTTCCATAGTCATTACTGTGGCGCCCGCATTATCTGTCGCGGTGTCTCCTCGGCCAGTCGAACGCCCGACTGGTGCGCCCGCGGCGATCGCTTCGATCCGCAGGTCGCAGCGGACCATCGACGCGCGTGCGGCTCGGAGCCCACAGGTCGCTCGCGCTTGCGCAGCGGCCCAACGCCCTGCGCCCGCGCGCGACGGCCCAGGGCGCCCGCCGCAGCATTGCGTGGAGCGCGCAGAAGCCGCGGCCCTCCACCACACCCTCCACCCCCCATCTCCACCCCGCTTTCCACCCTCCAACCTGCCTTTGTTCACCCGAAATGGCTCAAAGAGGCCCTTAGATAGCCCAGGATGGAATTCAGGATGGCCCAAGGCAGCCGAGCATGGCCCCAGGTAGCCTCCGACAGACTTCCAAGAGGGCTCGGGACAGCCTCACTATGGCCCAGGAAGGCCGAGCATGGTTCAAGTTAGTTTCCAGCAGCCTCTAGCCGAGCATGGCTCTAGATAGCCTCCAAGATGCCTCAAGACAGCCTCCGATAATTCCTGGATGGGCTGGTGGGGATTTTTTTGATCGCAAGCGCACCAGGCTGGTGGGGATACGCGACGCCGCCCGCGTCAACACAATCCAGCGGCACCAGACGGTAGACTCCTGCGGCGCGATGGTGGGGGCCCGCTCTCCCTCTCTCCCTCTCTCTCTCTCTCTCTCTCTTTTTTTTTTCTCTCTCTCTCTCTCTCTCTCTCCCTCCCCCCCGGGCGTTTCCACAAGTGCTAGCGTTGCCGCCGACGCCACTGCTGGAAAGGCCTCCGTTGCCCTGGCTAGTGCTGCTGCTGCTGCTGCTGCTGCTGCTGCTGCTGGCGCCACGTTCCCCCCCCCCCGCGGCATCGTCCTGCTCCCTCCTCCTCCAGGGAGGAGGGGGAGAGGGGGGCGAGGGGGAGAAACGAGGGACAGAGGCGGAGGATAAGCAGGATAAGAGAAGAAGTTGGGCCCCTTGAGCACCCACAAGTCAAGTATATATCATAGCCGAAACAGGCTTGACAGTGGGACGCGGGAAAGGCGACCACTCCAAAGCGCCGACGTGCTGGTTTCCGAGCCGCGCCAAAACTCACGATGAACTTCATAACTTCAATTTTCAAACAGTGGGAACGCGGTTTTGGGGGACGGAGGAGAACTGATTGCCAAGCCATGAGAGGCCACAGAGAGGCCGATCAGCCACGCGAACGCGCGCACCCGCGCAGGTCCTGCCCGCCTGGCCATGCCGCAGATGCGGAAGACCTGGGGACCCAGGCCTCCGACGGTCTCCGACGTCATGACTTTTGTCAACGCCGACCCACAGAGGCCTCGACCCATTCTCCTGGACTGGTTTTGCATCCCGAGTCGTCCTTGGACGGTCCCGAGGACCGGCAAGGGCCTCCAGAGGCCGAGAATGCCGAACAACCTCCCCGTCGTGGTCTTCTCCTTGCCCGAAGGGGTCTTGGGGAGGACGCGCGCCCGCAGCCCCACCCGGCAGCCAGGGCCACCGGGAGGCCGTGGGAAGCCACGCGCCCACGGCCAGTGAGGAGTCCCGAAACGGTGCGGTGACAGACCGTGCGGTGACCTCGAAATCCCCCAAGACCTCACCGCACGGCCCGTCACCGCAGGGTCTTCGGACCCCGGAGGCCCCCGTCGCCCGAGACATCCTCGGAGAGGGACTCGCGTCCCAAAACCGTGCGGTGACCCCGACCCCCCACCGGCTCACCGCACGGTGCGGTCACCACGCCGCTCGGGGGCCCCCGAGAGGTCGGCAGCCCTCGGAGACTCGGCACGCGCTCGCTCCGCGCTCACCACCCCGGTTGGGGCCCCCGGGGCCAGGCCCGACGGCCAGGCCCACCGGGAGGCCACGCGTGCGAAGCCATGTGGGATGCCGCACGGAGGCCGCGCCCATGGCCCGAGCCGGCCACGGGGGCCAGCGGGTAGAGGCCTCCCAGATGGGCTCCGAGCATGAGGTCGGGCGTGTCCCCCTACAGGGGGATTCTCGACGAGAAGTAACAAGTACCCCCAACATACCCCAAAAGGGTCAAAACATGCTTCAAAAATGGTCCCCAGAGAATTTTTGACTACTTTTGGGCATGCCCCCTGTAGAGGGACAGGCCCGACTTAATCCGAGCAGATGGGCCCGGAGGAATGCTGCATCGTCGACGTCGGCGACGTCGACGTGGAGCAAAACAGGCTCCACATCCAGCCGCGTCGCCGATGCCAAGGCGATGCGGCGCGACCTCCGACACCATCTACTCCGACGCCACCTATAGGAAGCCTAGAACAAAGGCCATAAGAGGCGACGCGCTCACGACCGGGCCGGGCAACAAGGACCACAACGAGGCCATGGGAGACCATAGGACGCTGTACAGTCAACCCGTACAGTGGAAGTCAGTCCACAAGAAACCTTCCACAAGAAACGCGGCCCTGAAACCCCAGGACGTCAGTTGATTGGTGTGGGAACGTCGCCTTTCCATAGCAAAACCATCGAAAGCCAAGAAACCCAGGGCACCCTGGAGGTGAGCAGGGAGTTTCTTGGCATGGATCTCCACTATATCATGAGGATGCGCGATAAGGAGAAGGTCACTTCGAAGCTCTTCGAGCGGGGCGCGGCCAACGAAAGTGATCAAGGATGGGCCGAGGAGGGAAGGACACAGGGGTACCTTTGGGAAGGTTGCGCATCCTTACCATGAGGGTTGACTGTAAGAGGCCAAGCACTCGCGACCGGGCCCGACCAGGCCGGGCAACGAGGACCACGAGAGGCTATGGGAGACCACAGGACGCTGTAGGCACCCGTAAGAGCGGGCACTGCTCGGGGAACGAAAACGAGGAGCTGCGGTCGAGGCTTCATCTGATCAAAGCAAAAGAAAAACGCCGATCGCTACAGCGAGTCTCAGCTATGGCTTGCAAGACGCACAGAACGTGCAGCCCAGGATCGACCAGGGAAGTCGCATGCTGCTGTGTAGGGAAGCTGTCGCCTGCCTCCTCGATCGTTGGACGCCCCCCGGAAAGACAACCCGTCGTGCACACACCGCCCCAAGAGAGCAATGGCGTCCGTTAAAATACGTCTACAACACGACCCGTCTGTGGCGACGCACGGCCTGTGCTCGTGGCAGGACCACGCCCGTGCACCGACTTCCCCAGACTGGCCTGGCCCAACTCTGCACCAACGCTGGCGCCCTACCGTGCCTGGAGGCCTCCGGAACTCTCCGGGAAGGATGGTGCAGTCCACCCGTATAGTAAGGGCGCACGATGAGGGTGCTTTCTGTTTTTCCCCCCACTCACAAGCAGCAGCAGGGACGTGGTAGAATATCACCAGGAAACCACCTACTTGGACAGGACAGCATGCCGCGCAGATCGCTGCCGGCGCAGCGTCTTGGAAAGAAGAAGGGCTTCCAAGAAAGATGCCAGCGACAGCCGAGACGACGTGGAAGGCGGCGCCGGCCCCGCGACTGGGCGGCGCGCACAAGGTGGCACACGGTAAGGATGCAGGGGCCTTGGACGCCCATGCCGAGTTCTCGAGCGGGGTTGGCCTTCGAAAGTGGTCAAGGATGGATAGAGGATGACCGAAGAGGCAGGGATGCATGGATACCCTTGGAAAGTCGATCATCCTTACTATCAGGGTTGACTGTAAACACCTCCCGAAAATATCCCAAACACCTCAGAAGACGTACGGAAACCGTTCAGTCCTTGACAGGCGCCCCGTCCATGATCTCGAACTTCGTGAGCGTCTCGTTGTCCGTCTGCTGCTGGCCACCCGACGCGCCTGTGGCCTCGCGGCGGACGATGTTGAGCTCCTCCCCGCGGCGCCGAAGACACAGACGACGATGGTGACGACGGCAACAGACCCAGGGGTTGCCCTTACGGCCCCCTGCCCTGGACCCACGCACGCGCTTCAGTTCTAGAACCACGCACGCGCTTCAGTTCTAGCCCCTGCAACGCAGGCCAGAGGCCACCCACATGGGACCGGGCGCAGAGTGGGGGTCGGAGGATGGGGCCGCATCGCCGATGCAAAGGTGATGCGGAGCGATCAGCCGACCCCCATCTACGGCTGCACCTGGGACAGAAGATCATCCTCCAAGAGCACGAGACCCTCCGCCAGCCAAGCCGAAGAGAACATCCGAGGGCACCCTCCCCCAGGATGCACGTGAACACCCAACAGACACGAAGAACAGTAAGCATGGCTGCCCTCCCCGAACCGGCCTCGATCCCACACTCCGCTCCGACCCTGCCCCGGCCCCGTGCTGGGCAGCCAGGGACGAGCGCAGACGAGGGCGGGGAGGACGCGTGGGAGGCCCGTGGCCCCCGACGCCCTGCTTCCTCACGGGGCGCCGGCGCCCCTGGCGGCTGACCCGCGGGCGTCGGCACCGTCGGCCCCCGTCGGTTCGTCGTCGCTCGGTTGTCCACCCGCCCCGGCAGGGTGGGCTCCCGTCGGCCTAGATTGAAGTCGGGCCTGTCCCCCATACAGGCGGATTTTCGACGAAAAATCAAAAATACAAAAAAAGAAAAAAAAAAAAAAAAAAAAAAAAAAAAAAAAAAAAAATCCACTACTTTTTCGTCGAAAATCCTCCTGTAGGGGGGCTCGCTGCGGGTTCCAAAAACATCCTCTCCTTGTCCTTTACCTACCACGTCGGCCTCCTCGGACTCCGCATGTCTTCCCCGAGCGAGCAATCCCATGCTGGAACCTAGGCATGATCCATGACCGTGTATATTGTGCCCTCCCCTGCGACTAAGGATAGCAAGCGCGATGTGGCTCCATGTGTTTGATCTTGATCCGCACGAGCAGGAAGTAGACCTTCCCAACAACGACGTCCTTGAGGTGATACTTGGCCTGGTATTAAGAAAGGGAACACAAACTGAGCTCCTTCTTTTCCAAACGATAGGAGCTTCCGTCCGAATGGGAAAGGGATCGGGGAGGCGAATATGCGGACAAACACCATGCCTTTAAACTAAGCGAAGGCGTTGAGCAATCATTCAGGAGGTTGGTACCCGTGCGGTGGTGAAATGCTGGCTTCTGGCAGAAACAGATGTGCTTCATTGCCCGCATGGCGTATCTTCGCAAGCCCAAGGATGCGTGAGCCCCTTGAATAGGATGCGTGAGCCCCTTGAATAAAAAGTCATCTGACGCATGGCAAGGTGCCAAATCGTCGATGCATCACCGATGCGACGGCGACGTCGACGCAGAGAAAATCGCATCGCGCTCCGCATCCCGAATCGCCAATTTATCGGCGGTGCGGCGCGATCCTCCGAACCCGTCTACTCTGACCCCACCCGGGATGCCTGGTTTCCCTGAGACCAGCTCCTCATCACAAGAAGCTGTCTGACAGACGCGGGGGCCCAGAAAGCTAGGAAAACGAAACGACACCCATACCGCTGGGAGGGTCAGCGGTATCGGGACTTACCTTTCTTCCGCTGAAAAAGCAAAAACAAATAACAACAACAAAAAACGGGGGGCCCCAGGGCGCCGAACAAGTCGCGAAGAACGTCTGCCGCGTATGTTTTTGCCGCCACCCCCCCCCCGAGGCGGTGCAGGTCCGGGCCAAGGAGAATGTGATTTTTGTTTCACGACAGCGGCCGTTGCGAGCCCCGGTACCTGAAGTTCGGGGGCAGGGTACCTGTAGTCCGGGGGGGTACCAATAGTCTGGGGGTGCGGTACCTGTAGTCTTGGGGAAATGTATCTGTACTCCGGGGGGGAGTACCTGCAGTCTGGCAGGGAACGCTTGTTCATGCGTCAACGCTTGCGTGAATGTAGTCCAAGGGGGGATCCCTGTAGTCCGGGGTGGGGTACCTGTAATCGGGAGGGGTACCTGTAAACCAGGGGGAGGTACCTGTAGTCCGGGGGAGGGGTACCTGTAGTCCAGGGGGCACTTGCAGTCCCAGGACCCAGACCTGTTGAGGGACACAGGGTGGGAATCATGGGCTGCTCCGGGTTCGAAAATTTCGGACCAAGGCAGAATCACAACAGCCTTCTGGGCGTAGGTGGTCTAGGGCCGCTCCTCTTACAACCCCCTCCTTCCAATTCGGGAAGGGGTTCATCACTGTTCCCTATTAATAAACACCCCCTCCCCCACCCGGCCGGCATCCAACCCAGAACCATGCGCACACCATAAGGCCCCCCCTCCCCCACCATCCCTGTCAAAAAACAATACGTAGCACCCCGCAATTGCGGATAAGAGGGGGCGGGCGCGGGCGACGCGGACGTCGAGACGGCGGACCTCGTGGCCCTCACCTTCCCTGTCGATGGAGCCCTCCCCCTCCTCCTCCTCCTCCTCCTCCTCCTCCTCCTCCTCCCCTCCCTTTTCTCCCTTCCTCCTCCTTCCTCCTCCCCCTCCCCTCCCCCCCCCTCCCCCTCCCCCTCCCCCTCCTCCTCCTCCTCTCCTCCTCCTCCTCCTCCTCCTCCTCCTTCCTCTCCTCCTCCCTCCTCCTCCTCCTCCTCCTCCTCCTCCCCCATCCCGATCCTCCCCCCTCCTCCTTTCCGTCGTCGTCGTCCTCCTCCTCCTCCCCATCCTCCTCCTCCTTTCTCGTCGTCACCCTCCGTCCCCCCTCCTTTTCCTCCTCGCCCTCGTCGTCGGCCTCCTCTTCGTCCTCGTACTCGTACTCGTACTCGTCGTCGTCGTCGTCGTCGTCGTCGTCGTCGTCGTCGTCGTCGTCGTCGTCGTCGTCAATGAACGTGTTCAGATGCAGCCCCGCCGCAGGCGCCGATGTGCTGTTGTAGAGTCAACGTGGGCTGGATCGGGGGAATGGCACGAGGGCGCTTTCCCAAACCAATGCGAGCAAAACCGCCGCAAGCGCCGATTTGCGTGCTCTGACCAGTTCAGCGAGGGGGGATCGCTGGTAGGCCACCCGGAACGAATGCAAAAACAACCCGCCGCAGGCGCCGAATTTTTGGCTTATTCAATGAACGTAGTTTGGGTCGCGGGTGGGTCGCGGGCTCTCCACCTCCACCTGGAAGGAATTCAAGAACAGCCCGCCGCAGGTGCCGAAAATATTGATCTGTACACTGAACGCGGTTTGGGTCGCAAGTTCTCCACCTGGAACGATTGCAAAACAGCCCGGCGCAGGCGCCGAATTTTTGGCTTATTCAATGAACGTAACTAAGTTCGCGGGTGGGTCGCGGGCTCTCCACCTCCACCTGGAAAGAATTCATAAACAGCCCGCCGCAGGCGCCGAAAATTTTGGGTGGGTCGCGGGGTGGGTCGCGGGTGGGTCGCGGGTGGGTGGCGGTGGGTCGCGGGTGGATCGCGGGCGCGGCTTGGGTCGCGGGTGGATGGCAGGTTCTCCACCTGGAACGAATGCAAAAGAAACCCGCCGCAGGCGCCGACAATTTTGGGTGGGTCGCGGGGTGGGTCGCGGGTGGGTCGCGGGTGGGTCGCGGGTGGGTCGCGGGGTGGGTCGCGGGTGGGTCGCGGGTGGGTCGCGGGTGGGTCGCGGGTGGGTCGCCGGGGGGGTCTCGGGGTCGGTCGCGGGCGGGTCGCGGGGCGGGTCGCGGATGGGACGACGACAACAGACAACAAACAACAACAGCAACAACAACAACAAGAATCCGCATCGCGGAATTCCACTTCAGCCACGCACCCAGGGACAGTGAATGACCGTTCGGTTCAGCCCCCTCACTCTGACAAAACACACTCTGCCTGCAAATTCGGAGCATGGGCAACCGACCCGATGTGGGCCTCCCCACACCGTCCCTGTCAACAAATAATACACAGTACACTTTGGGGCAAAGGCTGGAGTCATGTTCGTGAGGCCCGCGGGCACTTTGTATGGTGTTTCGACAGGGACGGCGGGGATGTCAGCATATTGCCTGCTGCGCGCAGGGCTACCATCCATGGCAAACACACAATGCAAAATGCACCTCGCGGCTAAATGTATAGTGCGCGGTCACCCCGCGATCATTGCCAAGTGGTTTTGTCAGGGACGGCGGGGATGGTGGCGTATGGCCTGCTGTGCGCAGGCCCACCAGACACAATGATGTTCATTGGTTTTCGAGAGGGATGGTGGTGACCGACATGTTTCCCGATGTGTGCTGTCACGTGCGCAGGCGCACCTGACACACTCTGCACGTGCCCCAGACGTGGCGCACCTGGCGCGGCTGGAGGGGGCATCTGGCGCACTAGGCGTGCCTGGCACGCTCGGGCCCCAGGGGTGCCTAGCGCGCGTGGACCGCCTGGCACGCGTGGCGGACCTCGCCCAGGCGTCGCGCACATGGGCTCGGTCTTGGTTCCCAGTAGCTGTCCATCAAAAGACGACCGCGGAACATGCTGAGGCTCGGGTGTTACTTATTTGTCGAGAGGGCGGGTTGGAGTGTGAGCTAGACGGCTTGCTATCTGAAGGGTGTCTTGACCCCTCCCCCTACCCCCTCCCCAAGACCTGGACGGGAGGTTTCGCTGGTAGTCGGAACGTTCAAGATGGCCCCAGACGGCTCCCAGAGAGCCTGAGGGAGCCCAAGATGACCTCCAAGATGGCTCTAAATAGCCTAGGATGTCCCAAGATGGCTCCCAAGATGCTCCAAGAAGCCCCAAGACCGCTCCAAAACGGCTTCCAGATGCCTACGAGACCGTCAAAGAGGCCTCCAAGAAGCCAACATCCTTCAACAACCGAAGGAAACTCAATGCTTCTTGCATCGTCGCCCGTTCGCTTTCGACAGCCTTCCGAGGCCTCAAGATGGCTCCAAGATGGCCTAAGAAGGCCCCAAGAGAGGCCCAAGAGAGCCCCAGAACGACCCCAAGAGCACCCAAGAGCGCTCCAAGAGCGCCCCAAGAGCGCCCCAAGAGACCATCTTTGGAGACCTGAGGGGCAGCAGTAATTGGGAACACCACTTTTTTGTTGATCGATGTCCTCCAAGATGGCTCCAAAAGCGCCCCCGAGGCTCCCAAGAGCGAGCCAAGAGGGCCCCAAGAGGCGCCCAGACGGTCCCAAGAGGCGTCCAAGAGGTCTCCGAGATGCTCCCAAGAGGCCCCCAAGAGGCTTCAAGAGGATCCCCGAGGCACCCAAGATGCCCCTCAGACGCTCCAAGAGACCTGACAAAACAGAGACATCCGAGGAGGCTCGTCTGATCGTCTCCTCCTCCTCCTCCTTCTTATCCGCCCCCCCTCCTCCTCCCTCCTCCCTCCTCTCCCCCGCCTCCTCCGCCTCCTCCTCCTCCTCCTCCTCCTCCTCCTCCTCCTCCTCCTTTGCACTTGCAAGGGAAATCAGTTGAGACTCCGAGAGTCATTCAAAGGGCTTATGACTCTTCGGTTCGCCCTCTTTCTTCCTCCTCCTCTCTTACCCCTCCCCCTTCGTCTTGGTCATCGGCGTCGTCTTCGTGGTCGTCCTCGTCGTCGTCGTCGTCGTGTGCGTCGTCATTGTCGTGGTCATCGCCGTCGTCGTCGTCGTCGTCGCTCTCTTCCGCCTTCTCTTCCTCCTCCTCCTCATCCTCCTCCGCCCCGTCCTCCTCCAACTGCTCCCACAAGGAGGAAAGGAAAGGAAGCAAGTAGGAATTAGGAGGAATACGAGGAAATAGGCGGAGGCAGGACGAGGTACGCTACGCGCGAAAACCACGACAGTCGGTTTGCTTCGCAAAAGTTGCTGTTTTGGGATGGGCTGGTGGTGGTTGGCGAAGCGTCAAGAATTCCACACTAATTGCCGACTTGCTCTGGCATCGAACGTCTTTTGCAACTCGGGTCCAATGCCATCATTGGGCCCTGGGCTTGGCCCCTGCCGACCCCCCCGCCCCCGGGCCCACTCCGATGGGCCTGAGGATCCCTGTAATAAGACTCCATGGGCCACGCAAACTTAGAAAACTGCCTCTGCTTGGATGTGCTTCTGCAAACCGCTCGGGGGCTGTGTACCATGCTCGGATTTCCGATCCAAATAGGCCTCAAGGGCTGCAATCTGGCAGTCCGCCATATCGCGGTCGATAGGCAATGCTTGTCTCAAGCATGCCTCTGATATCAAGATGGCACAAGCAAGTTAGCTGCATCTCGACTGATCTACATACATACGTACCTTACTCATGAGATCCTCGCAAGGCTGAGTGTATGGTCGCCCCAGGCGCCTTGTCGTACTCGAACTCTATGTGCAAACAATCCTCGATTCCGACCTCCATCTTGAGCGTGTTGTTGAGCTCAGGCTGCGGGTAGAGGTTCTCCGGCCAGGTGCAAATAGCGAAAAACATGTAGGTTTAAGTCGGGCCTGTCACCCTACAGGGGGATGTTGGACGACAAATCAAGAATAAGATTAAACAAACACACACAAATACTCAAAAATTGTCAAAAAAATCGTCCCCAGACTATGTTTTGACTATTTTTGGATATTCCTCCTGTAGAGGGACAGGCCCGACTTACGAGTAAGAGGAAACGTGTGGGAAAAAAAACGGCGCCTGGCACGGCAGATCACGCGGAACGACCGTGCAGGGGGAAGCAGCTGGCACCTCTGAGATGCCGACCACGTGTCGCAGACTTCGACACGACGCAGCGATGCGACCCCCCAACGGGAAATTCAGGCGGGGCGCGTGTGATGTGCTCCTGCTCTCTGTGCTCAGCTCGAGCCAGGCTGGACTGGAGACGGATGAGTTCGATGAGCCGAAAGGCTGAGCACGGAGAGAGGAGGAGGAGGGGCAGAGAAGAAAGGAAGACGAATACGGGACGAAGGGGAACGACGAGAAAAATCATTACCACCGGACAGACCAAGGCACACCGGGCGAACCGGTGGGTTCGGATAACGTCTCTGGGAACGTGCGAGGACGAGTCCGCGCGAAGGTCCAGACCCGCAGTAATGGCGGGAGGGTCGGGTCTGCCAGATAGCCAATAATGAATCAAGGCTCGGGACAAGCAAGGCCACAACCGACCTCCAGACCGATCGCTTGCGAGACCGAAGTCGCGTCGATTCGGAACTTATAATTCAGCTGCGCTAGAAAAATGTGAACATTCTTCTGCTTGCACATACCATCGCTCTCTGCCCCACATACCCCGAAACTCTCTCGACCCCTTCCCAAGGGACCGACCTTTCGGCCCAGATCGTCAAACATGCAACATGGAGTCCAGAAATATAGAACAACAAAAACAACATGTTTGCAAGCGTGTACCCCAAATAGTGATTTTGTGGCATACGATGTGCTATCGACATCGTGGAAACTAAGTGCTACAAAACATGTGTACGTAAGCTATGTGACGCAAGCAATATGGTCCAAAGTTTGTGGTGACGCCTACAGCAGTGCATGTGGAGCAAGTTATGTGACCGAGGCTGACCGCAAAACGCAATTAAGCACCTCCAAAACACATCCATGGCACATGCAAATGAAATAATCCGAGGGGGTGGCGCAGCATCCTGATATGGCTTAGCTTCAACCAACGCCAGTATACATCCAATGCTAATTATGGTTACGTACGAACACCCTTTGACATCTAGCACAGAAAGTGAAGGTCTTGAACTCCTGGTCCTCATTCTCCTGATCGTCGTACTACACGTACTTCTCATCATCATCGTCCTAGTCCTCCTCCTGATTCTCATCCTCACGATCCCCCATCCTTGAAGTAATTATGGTGTTCACAGCAACCTCCTAGTGCCTATTCATCCACCCCATCTTTGGTCGAAGCTGCATCCCGCTCAACTTCTTCCTCATCTTCCTCCTGATCCGCATGGTCATCATCTTCAACCTGGTCTAATTGCTTCGCCTTCTCGTCCTGATACTCTCCGCCTGCACACTCTGGAGGATGTTCAACGATACGATTTGTTTGGAAATCGTACGCTTGACTGCGGATGCAAAACCTGTCGACAACTTGATTTCCCGACAACTTGATTTCCCGCTTGACAGGACACACTTGAAAACAGGGCCGGGAACAACCACTGCCGAGTTAGCTTAAGAACGACTCGTGAGAAGCAACGTAATGCTACTGTCCTACAAGCATGGGGTCATCTAATCAAAAACCTCCTCCTCCTCTCCCTTCTCATCATCTCACTCATCCGCGTGGTCGGTAATTGAAAGGGGCGCAAGCCGTGTGAGGGGAGCGCCGAACATAAATCTGCTGGTGGTCGCATGCGGACGCCCTGGTCGCATGCGGGCGCCCTCGCTGGGGTAGTAACTGGAGCTCCCCATTGGGCCACGATCCGCGTGAACGGTGTTCGGGAATGGGCGAGGGGGAAGTATGCGGGCGAACTCCCTGGTGCCGTAGGTGAAGTCTACAATGTGGGCGCGAAACGTGTGAGAGGTGCTTCCATAAAGGGAGGATGAGGGGCGAGGTGGAGGGGGAGAAGGAGTGAGGTGAGGAGGGACGCGCGGCGCTGCGGATTCAAAACGAGGACTTCCTACCACAACCGAGTTTAGGGAAACCACCTTGTAACTCGAGGGGTGGTCTATGAAGTATACCAAGTGCCAGAACAATTCCCGAGCCTGGGGTGCTCTCAAAATCCCCGAAAGAACAATTCGCACCCTGAGGTTGTCTAGATCCGGCATCTCATTCTGCGTCTCCTCCTGCACCCGCCTCCTTCTCCATCTCCTTCTGTACCCGTCTGCGGAGCGCACCTGTTACACCACACAGGGGCGTTGCTAAGTACCGAATGAATGAAAACTCCATACTCGAACACCGTTGAATCTAGGAGATGGAGCGACAAAACCAGCATCGAAGAAAGGACGGTACGGATTGTGGTAATTACCGTGCCAAGATTGGGACCCTCGGGTCGGGGGGTGGGGGGTGGGGGCGGGACACACGCGAATGATGGGTTCCTGCAGGCATGGGCGCGCTCAACTGGACCAAGCGCACCGCGGGTGATGAGAAAGAAGGCGAACGCCACCAAAACAGAAACTCGTCGCCAGACGGATGTGCTAAGAGACCGTATCATCCGTGTCCTGAACCACCATGTCAATCTCTTTGGTTATGTTCGTCGCGTAGTTGCGGACCACGCAGAGGCGCACGAAGTATCGCAGCCGCACGTTGATGCCGCTGCAGGCAAGGGGAGAGGGGGAAGGACACGAAAGGGGCTTGAATACAGGAGAATAACTTCTGGGAGGAGGGAGGAGGGGAAAGGAAACCGAACAGAAAGAGAGAAGAAACGGCAGCAAACATGGAGAGGTGTGGAAAGCGAGAGAGAGAGAGAGAGAGCGAGAGCGAGAGCGAGAGATAGAGAGAGAGAGATACGAAAACAACGTGAGAGAGAAAGGGAAAGGGAGAGAAAGAGAGAGAGAGAGAGGGAGAGGAAGAGAGAGAGAGAGAGAGAGCGGAGGGACAGGAGGAACTACTTTCTCGGGGGCTGGGGCGGTGAGAACGAGTGCCTCAAGATGACCCGAAAAAGCCCAAACAGAGCGCCAACACGGACCAAGAGAGCGTCGAGACGGCCCAGGGTCGCCCCAAGACGGTCCAAGATGGCTTCGAGACGGTTCACGCGCTTACAAGACGGCCCAAGAATGCTCCCAGAGAACCGCCGAAAGGGCCCCCCAAATGCAGATACTGCCCCATTCCTTTAGGGAAAATCCTCGCGAGCGAGAGCCCGGTGAAGTGCCGACGCGAGGTCTGCCCAGGTGGCCTCGTTTCGGCCCGCGTGGCGGGCACGCACCGCCGCCGCCGCCTTGGGCTTGGGCGTCCGGCGGTCCCCACGGGCGGTGGCCCAGCGGACCACGTCAGCTCGGGCGTCTCTGGCGGCATCTCGAGAGGCACGAGGCTTGAGCCAAGACGGGACAGATGGAGGTAGAAGGAGATGCACACGTCAAAAATCGTCCGACGGAGTCGAGGGCCGTCAGGCCGCAGCAGTGGGGTCGAGGTTAAAGTGGGAGGAGAGGCATGCACGGCAGGGGGGACGGGGAGGGGAAACATAGAGCGAGAAAGACCGAAAGCTTGGTCCACGGTGCGGCGTCGATACATCGACGAGCTGGCGGCTCGAAGGATCGGGCAGTCGGATGTGTGCGTGTGTGTGCGTGTGTGTGCGTGTGGGTGTGGGTGGGTGGGTGGGTGGGTGGGGTGCGTATGTATGTGTATGTGTATGTGTGTATGTGTGTATGTGTATGCGTGTATGTGTGTATGTGTGTATGTGTATGTGCGTGTGTATGTGCGTGTGTATGTGTATGTGTATGTGTGTATGTGTACGTGTACGTGTACGTGTACGTGTATGTGTATGTGTATGTGTATGTACGTGTGTGTGTGTGTGTGTGTGTTCCATAAGCGTGCGGCGGTCGTCGGCAGCGTGCGGCGGTCGTCGACGGTCTCTGGCCGTGTTCGGCGGCAGTCTGCGCGACAGTGCTGGCTGGAACGACTGGCGCATCGCAATCGGAGGTATGAGGCGATGAAGGAGCATGAGAGAAGAGGCAAGCACCCCTGAACCAAGTTGGGACGGTTTGGGAGCCTCTTGGGGAGTATGGGGCGTCGAGCAACCAAACGAAACGACCAAATGAAAACCATGCGAAACCTTCACGGAAATTGTTATTTTGTTCTTGGGAACCCCGTAGGCCGCCATGGGCCCCACGTGGTTTAGGGGCGGTCCGGGGGCTCCGTTGGGCTCTTTTGGGCTGTCTGGGGCCCTTCTGGAGGCCCTCTTGGGGCCGTCTTGGGCCGTCATGGTCCTCTTTTAGGATTCCCTTGGCCATTTTTAGAGCCGTCTTGGACGCCTTCTGGGCTATATTGGGGCGCTCATGGAGGCTCGTTGGGTCGTCTGTGGCTCCCAAAAGACCGAAAAACCATGTATACCAAAATCGCACCGAAACCTCCGGAACACCTATACTTTTTACGTCCTAGGGGTCTCTTGGGAACTCTTCTCGGGCCCCCTCGGATGGCCTTGGGAGCTTGTCGGGCCGTCTACGTGTCATCTTGAGCGCTTCTGGGGCCGTCTTGAGGCCATCATGAGCCGTCTTGGCGCGCTCCTGGGGTATCCGTGAGACTTGTCGACTGCCCTGGGGTGGTTTGGAAACCGCTTGTGGAAGCCATCCAGGGCCTTTCCTGGGGGCTCCCAGGACGAAACAAATAAATGCGGTCCCACGGGGTGCCATCACATGGCTGTCGACTGGCTCAAACGCTGACTGGCCCCACTGTGGCTCAAGCGTCGACTGGCTCAAGCACTGTTGCATCACATCGTACACCATACCTCTCCAGATCTCACACTGTTCTCTGCCAGCTTTCCCTTCCCCACAGCTTGCGATGGCTGGTACGAGCTCGCGGGCGGCAGGAACACCAGTTCGAGGAGTGCTTGAACGCGACGTTCGCCAACGTCTTTTCAGCCCGCTGCACGAGATGGATGATTTCGACTCCCTGGGCCCTGCATCCCGAACGGAGGTGCACGCGATGCCGGCTCCTACGACTCCTACTCCTATGACTCCGCCAGATGCACATCCACCAGCAGGGGGACCCGTACAGCAGGAAGAACATGGACAACATGCAAGTCCGCCGACCCTGGAGCAAATCGCCAACATGTTCCGCAGGGAGGTGCAACCGATCCACAACACCATCAGTAAGATCGAGCGGCGCCTGACACAGATGAGCGGGACCATCGACACCAGGATAGATGGAGTGGAGGAGCACATCGAAGACGTGGGCATTCGCCTCACGAACCTTGAGAACAGCGCCGAGCAGGCCGACGCCCATACAACCCCCAGCAACATCGATACCGCCATTTGAGACCACATCAAGACGCCCGAGATCGAGGTCTCGCAGCTGCGGGAGACTGGCCTGCCAGCACAGCAGCAAGTATAACGATAGCGAATAGGAGGTGACGGCAGTGGCCGGCGGGCTACGCTTGCTTTCTCTGACCTTGGGGAGGCACGGGAAAGGGGTCAAGAACAAACTCTGGGACCCGTGTTCCCCGCAGCGGGAGGACATCTACAGTCGGGGCGCGGCCGCAGGAAGCCCTCGCAAGAAACCCAACCCTGAGAACCCACGCGCGAGGTGCACCTGAGGGGAAACCTGGAGCATCCTGAACGCAGCAGCTCCTTCAACGGCTGCGGGAAGTCGCCGCGCAGCGCAAGAAGCGAAGAAACCTAAGATACCCTGACGAACAGCAAATGGTTTCTTGATGCGCGCTCCCACTGTACGTCAAAGGGGAGCTCCGAGGCATCATGTTTGTGAGATGTCTCGGTAGACTTGCCCGGGACACCGCAGTCGACTGACCCGGGAAAGTGGCCTTCACAGGGGGGGGGCAGCGCAGCTTGGGCGAAGGAGGACAAGGGCCTGCCAACCTGGGTATTGACCTTTTTCGTGTCTTCGAGGCTAAACAAATTCTCAAACGGTGGGGATATGCTAGCGAGATCGTCTGAGCCGACCCGGAGGACGGTCACGTCTGGGTGGGCAGCGGCATCGCCGTGCGGGTGTCCATCGAGAACGGGACCTTGAAGGTGCGGTACGGACCTTGAAGGTGCGGTACGGGCCTGGGTGGGAGGACTGGTTGACACAGGCAGAGTTCCCAAATTTCGCTGACATGATCAAACGCTCATCCGATAAGTTGGCGCAGTCCCCCATGAAGGGTATTGGCAAAAGCGGGGCGAAAAGGAAAGGGGCAGGCAAGGTTACCAGCAACGGCAACGGCAACATGGGCAGATAGGGGGCCATCGGTACGTGAGCAGGGATGTTTCACATAGGACTCGCAGAGAGTCTTCGTCAAAGTGCTGGGGTGCACAGTCGAGTCTCATACCTTGTGCAGCTCAAGGGCAGCAGCATGGCAAAGCCACATTGTCATTGAGCGAACTTCGAGGCCGTTGTTTACGGCCTCTCCGAGATGGCGAACTTGCAGTTGCAAGTCAGAACATCGAAGGGTACACATAAACAAAACAGATGATAATTGAAACAATGATGAAACGTGATGGCATTAAAATCCTATGTGCAAGAGACGTGGAGACTAAACTCTGACACATGTGTTACATATTATGGTTTTCTTGTCATCATGTCGGGGGGAGCAGAGGACGCGGAGGAAGAGGATAACGCATGGGTTGGGTTCACCGTGGACCCCAGCTCGATACAATAAATCGGTGAATGTTGCCAACGTTCGAGCCAAATGGCTTCGCTGAAGATCCGCGTATCCGGCGCCAAGGCTGTAATATTCTCGGCTTACGCGCCTCATAGTGAATACGACTACCAAAAGCGGCAAGGCTTCTTCAATGACCTCGGAGACTTCATTGCCTCACGTTCTGCACATGGGCCGAAATTGCTTATGGGAGATTTGAGTTCTAAGCTGTACGGCAACTTCGATGATGACGGGCATGTAATTGGACCCCATGTCTTTATTCACCCAGGCCACACATGCAAGCCCGATGCGAACAGATATTTGTTTGTGGAGACATGCGCTCAGCTACACACATGTCTCGCAATTACTTCTTCTCATTGCCGCAGCACTACTTAACCACGTGCTACAACGTCGGCCGCCCAGCTGGTCAAGATATCGATTGGCGCACTCATTCTCAAATCGACTTCTTGGCTTGCGATCAGAAGTGGTTGGACACCGTATTGAGCGTTAGTGTGTGTCCAGACGCCCCATTGTCTTCGCACCACTTTTTGCTGAAAACCCAGGTCCGGATCACTGTGGACAAGACTTCGCCGGCCGCGCAGAATTCTAGACCAGATGTGTTCAGTTTGATGGAGATTGCCAAAAAGCACCGCTTCACTACTCTGTCAGCTGAGTCTTTGAAGGACTTGTCAGACTCTGCGCCTGACCACGGGGATGCGAATCTGGCCTGGTGTCAGCTGGTTGACGGATTCCACCATGCATCGACGAGCGCGCTACCGACGAGACCAGCCCGTGCCAGGAAGCCTTGGATACGACTTCCCACCCTGAGACTCATAGACAGGCGCTTTGCAGCCAGACACCGAGGCGACATCGATGAAAAACGCGAAGAAACGCAGCTTGCCAAAATCATCAAAACAACTGTGTCGAAGGACCGGGCCGCGTGGATGGAAGGTTTACTGAGATTGGCGACTGGGATGAGATACGCAAGCTTAGGAAAGGTTTTTGCCTCCTGCAAGGCAGGATGAAGAATGCGAGTGGGGATTTGGTAGACAGCGACCATCGAGCATGTACAATGGTAGACCACTTGGAAAAAGGGCAATGGGCGGCGCGGCCGACGACGGGTATGCCGACGGAAGCGCTCCACGCAAACGTCCTCCCCATGAACCTCGGTGGCATCACAGAAAAGGAAGTGAGGAAATCTGCCAGCAAACTCAAGCGAGGCAAAGCAGGAGGCCCCGACGACATCCCTCCTGAGTTTTGGCGGTCAGCGACCGACGACGGCACTCCAACTCTAGCATGGATCACTCGCTTCTGTAATCTGGTATTGGGCAATTGCCAAGCACCCGAGGCTTGGCATAAGTCAAAAGTGAAGACTGTTGACACAAAGGGCGACCCGGGGGATTATAACAAATGCAGGCCCATCAGCCTCCTCCCAATCGGTCACAAGATGTTTGCCATGATATTGCTGCAACGCATGAAGGACGCAGGGGCCGAGCAGCGTATATGGCACACTTTCGGCTTCAGGTCTGGATGTGGCACAGCCGATGCGGTGTTCATCGCGCGGGGAGTGTTGGAGACGTGGGCGGCGCGCGATGGTAAGAGCATCTTTTTTGCTCTTGACTCGGCAAAGGCGTTCGACACGGTGTCTCCAGAGTCGTTGGTCAACGCGTTGCGGAGGTTCGGTTGCCCTGAGAAGTTCGTGCAGATAGTTCCCAGCGTCTACGACAATCGCGTCTTCACTGTACCAGATTCTGGCCTTACATCTGCAGAAAGGAAGCAGCAGTATGGAATTTGCCAGGGCTGCCCCCTATCTCCATTCCTCTTCACGATTTGTATGACAACCCTGCTTCGCGATGCTTATCGAGACTTGCGCAGGCTACGTGGCGGGGAAGCGCCGAGTGGGGTAGTGAGAGACTACTTGGTGTACGCAGAAGACACGCTCCTAATCAGCAACAACCCTGAAGTGATCCAGAAACTCATGCGCTGCGTCGAGAGTTGCGGGGCGCTCTATGGACTGCAATTTGATTTGAAAAAGGTCGAAGCAGTGAAGGTCCGGACCAACGAGAACGTGATGAATAACTTGGGCCAGCCCGTCGTCAGTAAGGAGTCGCTGATTTACTTGGGTTCAGCTCTTTCAGCAGATGGTAGAATGGGCGCTGAACTGCGCAGGAGGATTGGAAGTGCAAAGCGTGATTTTTAGACGTTGCACCCTACTTGGTCTCATGCTGCCTTAGAAAGATATTCAACGCGTGCGTGGTGTCGAAGCTGATGCACGTACTGTTTGCGGCATGCCTCAACAAGGCAAAACGACGCAAATTTTACACTTATCAGAATCGATGCCTGCGAGAGATTTTCAGAATACAGCCGTCATTCATCAGCCGGGTGGCCAATGCCACTGCCTTGAGCATATCGATACAGTCCAAATTGAGCGACTGCCTCGCCAGGCGGCAGATGATCTTCATGGGCCAACTTGCACGCCGACCAGGAACGGACTCTGTCAGAGCTTCAGTGTGTGAGCCGGACTGGCTGGTCGTCCATAAAGCCGCAGGCCTCAGAAGGCGGGGCAGACCGCGACAGACGTGGGGAAACTGAATTTGGAACAATTATCTGAAAGTCGCTGGCTCGCACGAGCGTCTTGCTGCCTACTTCCGCCCAGACGGCGGTGCAACTCGCGCGTGGGAGCAGGCAGTCAAAGGCTGGCCCAGATGCTGAAGGTATCCAACCACCAGGCCTCATCTCAAGTCTCACCCTGCTCACGCACCGTCTGTGCAAGGCTTGCCTGACCTGGCCTGACCACGGGGTGCCATCCTAGGGGTGTCCTTATTCTTAGTGTTGGATGAGGAATAAGTGGCACGTGTGTGCCCAGGCTCATGCAAAAAGAATTGTGGCAAGTAAACATTGCAGAACATGGACAAGTAGAGGAAGGAATACGAAGTCGGATCCAGAGAGGATGAATCAGGAAATGGAGAAGCACAGGAAAAAGAAGAGGTGGAGGATCATGAGGATCACCAGATGGCCATTGGGAAAAGGGTGCAACAGCAGGATCGCAATCACATGCATGTGTGATTGCCACACCTTGCGATGAGCGTGGCGCAGGAAGGGGGTCTCAGACCCTGCGATTGTGGTTGAATGCGAGCTGCAACGCCTATCTTTGGAGAACCTCGAGCGAAACGGCCGTGTTGGAGAATAGGAGTTCAACTAGAATGGCGTCGGGTTTCATATTTGAGGCATGTTTCACATGAACCGACAAGTCTCCAAAGAGCCGGGTCCAAACTCATTGAAATCCATCGTGCTTTTGAAGGGGTTTGGTTTTAGGTGAAAGTATTGAAAACGCTATAATGAGAGACTTTGACGTCGCGGTCTGCGTGAAGGTTGCGTCCGATGTTTGGAACGTTGGAAATGTCTCAACCGAAACAGCCAGAAACGGCACCCTCTGGTGACAACTGATCACCTCCAACCTCTACTCCCTCGCAGAGGTGCGTGTGTAAATGTGCGTGTGTGTGTGTGTGTGTGTGTGTGTGTGTGTGTGTGTGTGTGTTAGCTTCTTCGCCTCTTGGGCTTTCGCAGCATCCAAGAGGGTCCAGGAGGCCCCAAAGATCGGCCCAAGAGGACCCCAAGTTCGCCCCGAGAGGCCCCCGAAAGAACTCCGGGACGGCACAAAGGGGCCCCAGGAGGGTGCAGGAGGACCCCAAGACAGCCCAGGGGAGCCCCAAGACGGCGCCAAGAGAAGCCCCAGGGGAACACGAACGGACACTTCGAGCCTTCGGCCCCAAGAGGCTCCAGGAGGCCTCAAGAGTCCCCCACGATGCTTCCAATAGACCCAAAGAGGCCCCCGACAAGCACCAAAGAGGCCCCACGAGACTCTCGAGAGGCTCCCAAGATGACCCAAGAGGCCTCAAAACGGCTCCCAAGAAGCCTCCAAACGGCCCCAAAGAGGCCCCCGAGAGGCCTTCCACGACGTCCCCAGAAACACCCTAGAGGCATGCGACCCACAAGCCAGGCACGGTGGCGGGATTGGCCGAAGGCCGTCGTATGTGTATATCTATATAGTGTGTATATGTGTGTACGTATATTGCACCGCGCAGGTAGCATCCGAAAGATCCGCCATATAGACTGCAAATCGCAAGTACCATAGATAGAGAGACCAGAGCAGCTTCTGTGTTTGTGTACGGAGCGAAGTCAAGGAAGAGGGACCTGGGGGAAAACGGGAACGACGAATACGTATAGATCCCGGGCCTGTAGGTCTCGTCGGTCTTGTCGACGGACCCGAACTTCCACTTGTACTGCTTCGACTCGTACAAGATGCCAGGGGGCTCTAAATCCTATGGCCCAACAAAGAAATTGGAACGAGACATCGTCGAACCGTCACTTCAGAGATTTGACGCATCATACCGAAACGCATTACCACTGGCTACGCTGCAATTACGGTTCCGTATGTCTGACTGTGACAGGGTAGGAGCGAAGCATGGGGTACGGGGGGGAGAAGGAGGTTGAGGGGGGGGAGGGTGTAGGACGAGAAGGGTGCATACTTCTCAGCGCATGTAAACAAATGCTAGTCGTAGGCCCTGGCCAGGTCGCTGCGAATAGCAGTCAACATCATGCTGCACGAATGGGCAATGAGCCACCGTATGTGCAAATAGCGTCCGCAGGTCGCAAGGCTCCTCGTGGGTTGTTCTACCTGCCGTAGCCCGTCATCAAACTTGCCATGACACGGCTCAGCGAAGCGCCGCAAAACGAGTGCATGCTGCTTGATCAATTGGTCCTCTGCAAGAAGATCTGCGGAACGTAGAATCCAAACATCATCTAAAGGCCCGCGATAGCTGCTGCCATATATGCTGCGGAGAAGCTCGAACACCTCATATGTTGGGATGGTTGCCAGAAGCTTGGCCATCTCTGCTGCAACCTCGTCTTTGCCAGGACTCGTGGAGGGGTGCAGTTTCCTTCGCCTTCAGCACGTGGTCTTCAGGATGATTCGTTGACGTCTCACTGATCTGAAAGATCATAGCATTCACGTACTCGTGCTTCTTGAACCGCTTGCGTCTCCCAATTGTTCGAATCTTTCTTGCCAGCATAGTTCCGACTGAACTACGTCGTATCAGCGATACCCCGCCGCAATCTCATACAACTCTAGCTGTGGGCCTGCCATCTTGAGCCGGATGAGAGGAAGATTGGGAAGAAGAGGATGAGGAAGAGTGGGGCAAGAAACCGTGGGAGAGAGGGAGGGGAGGAGGAATGGGAGAAGGATAGAGATGAGGAGGAGAAGGAAGAGGAGGATATAGGAGGTGAAGCAGACGGAAGGAGAGCTTACAGGCTGCGCGGGAATTCTCGGGCGAAGTGCCTGGCCAGCCCTGCCGACACGCCCCGTGGTGCGATGAGCTGTGCGGGACGATGTGGGGGAGAGGGCGGACGGGGAGCGTATGGAGGACGAGGAGGGACAGCCGCTCGCCTGTAGAACGCTCAACATGGCTTCTGCTCACCACCCTCATCATCATCATCATCATCATCATCATCATCATCATCATCATCATCATCATCATCATCATCATCATCATCATCATCATCATCATCATCACATCATCATCACATCATCATCATCATCATCACATCATCATCATCATCATCATCACCATCAGCTTCATCAACATCTGCATCACCATCACCACCATCATCAGCATCCGCATCATCATCATCATCATCATCATCATCATCATCGTCATCATCATCATCATCATCATCATCATCATCACCATCACCATCAGCATCAGCATCAGCATCATCACCATCAGCATCAGCATCAGCATCAGCATCAGCATCAGCATCAGCATCAGCATCAGCATCAGCATCAGCATCAGCATCAGCATCATCAGCATCATCATCATCATCATCATCATCATCATCATCATCATCATCATCATCATCATCATCATCATCATCATCATCATCATCATCATCATCATCATCATCATCATCATCATCATCATCATCATCATCATCATCATCATCATCATCATCATCATCATCATCATCATCATCGAGTATCGCCCCGATAGCGCCCTCACGCTGGCACGATGAACCGTCGCCTCCCCAAATGTTGGATCAAGCAAAGGCGTAAGACTGAAGGGGGCCGAAAGATCGGCGCCGAGCCGCTCGAGTAAGGGAGCGAACGCTTGGCCTTGGGACCTCCACGTGATCGGCTGCGCACATGTGTGTCAACTGATGCGGGCCATCTATCTCTGCGGGAACCACGCGGTACCGATACCGCTACTCCCCCGGCCTCTCACGGGGCGCGTCCTGACCAGGATTTCAAGGCGAGCCCAGCGGTGGCGACGAAGGCCTCCCAGGAGGCCCAAAAAGAACGAAAACGAGGCAAGGGTAGCGGTATGGGTACCTTTTCCTCTTCTGAATCTCAATGATCGTTATATCACCCTCGTCATCTGACAGAGAACAGGATCCGAATGACCTTTTGCGAAGCTCGGTGCAGACCTCTCGGGCTGGCCCGATAAAGGCCCTCCGATGCGAGCGCTTGGTTTTTATTCTCAGGGCGAGAGCGCGACCACCAGAGCTCAACACCTTAACGATGTAAAACCATAGTGTGAAACCACGGGTCACCAGGTAAAAACCGGGAGCACCGCGCAAGCCGACCTGCAACAAGCAGACCCATGAAACGAACCTCAGCTTTGGAAGACAAGCGGGGCGGGACATAGCTACCGGTGGCGATTATTGTCGGGCATGCTCCGTGCACAGGAAGAGGGAGGAGGAGGAGGAAAAAGAGGAGGAGGAGGAGGAGGAGGAGGAGGAGGAGGAGAGAGAGCAAGAGACTGACCAACACGTGAGATGCAAACTCCCCGCCGTGACTGGGCGACCACGGTCCACCATGAATGACCACGGCCAGGCATGAGATCCATCAAAACTCCAGACATCAGAGATGGTCATGGGCGAACAGCGCCATAGCGAGCTCCACAGTGAAAAGATGCTCTAAAGGACACTTGATCCGTGATACTGTGACAAGTGACAAGCGGCAAGGCGCAGACGACGGCGAGCGACGACGAAACACGAACCAGCAGATGGGGAGAACGGAGAGGAAGGAGTCAACTAGTCCACAGAGCAGCTACTAGATTCGCCAGACCAACGTGTGACGCATCCTCCGATGAGATTGTGCGCGAGATCCTGTCGACGGGCCAGCGCGGCGCTGGCTGCCTTGGCCCCTGGCGCTGCGACTTGCAAAACACGAGCAGTCCTCCGCCCTCATCCCCTCTCGTCGCTTCCTCAGGGCACGACTGTACGATAATGCAAACAACCACGATGGGAAACCCTGTGGCGTGTCTTCCAAGCAGCCTGAACTCTGGGGACAACGCAGACGAAACCGTCAACCAACCCCCTAACTCAATATTGCAGCACCCAACGGCAACTGGCAATACATACTTACCCTTAAACGGCTTGACGGTATTTTGACACACTGCGTCCATCCCTAAGTTGCCAAATCTAAGATACTCAACTGATCCCTGTAAGGCAGCGGTCAGTCCTTGGTGATCGAGAAGAAATCGTAATTGTTGGCCTTGGGGGGCGGAGCAGACCCACCCTCCGCGACCAGTGTGACCGAAAGAAGCAGAGAAACCGATCGAATCCGAGTGGGCAAAAAACGGATACTGTGAACGACAACCCGTCCCACCGGAACGAAATGACAGCCAACTCGAACGGAACGGTCTTGCAGAAACACGCCCCAGCAGCCGCAAGAGAGCAGGAACATGCGATGCCGTATGCACGGCGGTGGGAGGGGGCATGCTCCCGCAACGTCGATCCTCTGATGCCGTCGATGCGATCATACCCGGAGGAAGGGAACAGGATGTACCTCGGCCCTAAGGTTAAGTCGGGCCTGTCCCCATACAGGGGGATTTTCGACGAACAGAAAAACTCAAAAAATAGTCCAGAATGGTCAAAAAATACTCAAAAAATAATCCCCAGACTATTCTTTGACTACTTCTGATTGTTCCCCTTGTAGAGGGACAGGCCCGACCTAACCCTAAGGATGGTTGCGCCAACATCTCATCTCTTGAGCACATCGCGAACAACCGAAGATGGAAAGTTGCCCTGCCCAAACACAACAGAACGCCCTCATTAGGATCTTCATCTCCGGTAGCGCTGGCTCTGAGCCACAACGGGCGGGACACGAACGAGGGCATGAAAGGATGAACACCAACATCAGGGTGATGCTATTCACCCCTGTCCTGCTATTCCCTGGCAGACCTCGCATACCTGCAAAGTAAATCCCTCTTCGTTCCCTCCTCGCCGGTCATCATAATTCCTCTCCGCGACGTCGTCGCCTCCCTTCTGTCGCCTCTCCATGTTCCTCTCTTCCATCTCCGTTGCGTACTCTCCGCCTCGCCTCTCGTCGCACCTCGTTTCTCTTCCCTCTGCTTCCCCGTCGCAGATGGCCCCGGGGAGTCTCCGGAGGCCCACGGGTGACCTGGAGGTCTGCGGAGCTCCCTGGATGCCTCTGGAGGACAAGGACAATCCAAGTACATGTAAAAGCTTCGATCCTCTAACTTCACACTTCGAACCTGGGCTTCTCGTTTCACTCCTCGCCTCTCTTCCTTATCGTCTCATGCGCGTGTGCTCTCCTGCTCCCCGACCCTCCCGCCACCCCTAGTGCAAGAGGAAAGAAAGAGAGAGAGGAAACAAACAAAGAAAAGAAAAACAAAACAACTAAAAATGGCGCGGCGTTGGCCCTGACCACGGTGCACGGGGCCCTCGGACCCGCTCGAGCGGCGAAGGGACGACATACTGCGCGCGATGACCTGGCGACGGCAGCGGCTTGCGCAGGCCGCCACACGCGGCACACTCCGTGGAGAGCACCGCGCTTAATTACCGCAGCCCTGTGCGGGCAGCTTCTACACCACTCCCTTGCAGAACGTTGCGTCACGACGCGGAGCTGCACGCCCTTCTTGCGTCGGCGGCCAGGCAGGGGACGTCTGCGCTGGCGACGGGGTGCCCAAATGGGGATGTCGAGCGAATTGTGCCACCATGCAAGAGGAGGAGCGGGGTGAGGGCGCGGCCGAAAGAGGGGCGGACGGAGCGAGCGGCTCAGGTGGGACGGATCGCTCCCCGAGCGGGCGGCGCGGCCAGCCCCGCCGGCGAGCCCGCGGCGGCTGCTGCGGCAGAGCTGCACACACGCAGACTTAGCGTGGGCTGCTGTGACAAAGGTAACCAGCAGTCGGCGGTGGACAGACCTCCCTTTGGCAGACCACCCTTTCGTGAAAACGGCCTGGGACCGAAACCGACGGACCTGGACCCGCAAAGATGACGGTGGCAACGCCCTCGCGCGAAACGAAAGCGGCCAATTCCTCAATCGACGTGTCAGGGTAGGATGTCTATCAGCCTCCAAAACCAGCAGACGTCGAAAGCAACTCGAGCTCAGCGCAGGGCACTCCAGCCCATCCCCTCGAATCCAACAGCACAGCGCCGGAGCCTCGTCGGCCCGCATCCCAAGACCCTCCGCCTCACCTCGGCCCGTCCAGGCGAAGTCCGCCGACCATCACAATGTTACGCCCGCGATCTACCAGTCCACATTGAAGCAGCTCAGGCCGTCCCAGGCGCGGAGGATCAGACCAAACGCACACGTTCCGAGCGAACCCATGCAAGCCAAAATCCAGCCTCATCCAACCCCACATCGCCGAATCTGACCCAAACAAAGTCAGGTCAAGCACACCAAATACACTTGGCACAGGCTCGGCGCGACAGGCACACCAGGCACAACAGAAACCTCGGGCGCACCAGACTCCCCAGGCGCACAAGGCAATGCAGAATGTGGGCACAAGGAGCGCCCAAGAACACCAGGTACACCAGGTGCAGTAGGCGCAACAGGCATGAAGGACATCAAGCACACGAGGCAAATCAGACACACCACACAAGCCCAAATACCGGACGATGTATTTCTCCAATTAGGCTTGCCTTAGGGGTTCTTAATTGGTTACAGGTTGGTGCCTACTAATTTTTACGTTACCCGAAGCTCGACGGTTTCCTGGGTTCCCAGGGGGCCTCATGCCAAGCAATGCCAAGCAATGCCAAGCAATGCCAAACACTGCGCCCATGCACTAGGAAGATTTCCAAATTGGGGTCGGCCCGGGTTCATTTTGTAAATCCGCGCCCCAGACACATCGACCCCTCACCAGGAAACAATTTCGCCCCACGTCCACTCTTGATTGTCCTTGGACCCAGAAGCGGCTTCTGGAAGCTGAGCCCGAGGGAAAACGTCATGCTTGGAAGCGCAAATCCACACGATGCCGAAGAATCCTCCAAGGAGACCGAGCACGCCAAGCACGCACGCCACGCGAGGCCCACGGAGGGCACCGAGGCCTTGTCGTGGATCATGTCCACCTGCCCCACGAGCTGCACCTGGATGCCCTGAGCGGCACGGGCGAGCGGGCGAGCGGGCTGCGAGACACCTCCTGCATGGGCGCCAGCATGCAAACCCTGCCCATACTGCACGTCGGTTTGGCCCAGTGGAGGCTCGCCAGTTGGGAGTCCCTTCGCTGCCCGCTCGCACTTTCTGAGCCACTGGGGAACCCCGTGTGTTCCAAATCGACGGGCCCAATCGGGAACCCCGGGGCACATGGATTGAAAACATTAGTCCGCCGGAGCTCTGGTAAGCCGTCCCCGCGGGCTTCGCCTCCTTTTCCTGACCAGCCCTCCGTGTGAGCGGTTGCCGACCACATCCGCCCCAAGATGAGCAAACAAATGCATCTGCACACGTGAACTTTCGAGGCCTCCTCGTTGGGGTCGGAGTAGATGGTGTCGGAGGATCGCGCCGCATCTGCGACGCATCGGCGGCATCGGCGAGGTATCGGCGCCATCGGCGTGGAGAGAATCGGGAGCAACATCGAACAGCATCGCCGATGCAGCGGCGATGCGGCACGATCCTCCGACCCCATCTACTCCGACCCCATCTAAAATGAGGCCTAGACACATGCACCATCCGCGACCACGTGCACGCGCGAGCGACTGCGCCCTTCACGCACAAGCGTCCAAAAACTGGCCGCGCTGTGCAAATGCGGTCGGTCTCTGGCCCACGAGGCCCAGGTTGAAGCCGTGTGCCCCAAGAAGGGCCGGAAACGTTCGGGAGGGCCCTGGAGGCCTCCGGGTGTATACATATGTTCCTGGAGGTCTCCAGGCGAGGTGCGTACTAAGCTTGGGGTAGGTTTTGGAGGAGACACCAACTTGGCGAAGACCTGCATTGCTGAACCTAATTCGCGGGGTAATGTGTGTTAGCTCGTTTCATAAGACATCAACAGCTTCGACCACAAATCATAAGCTCCTTGCAATCACGCAGGACCAGCCGACGCAGATCGCTAAGCGCATGCCGTCCAGGCCCTGTTGGCCCCCCAGGCCTTCGAAGCCCAAAAGAAAGCCAACAGCGCACCCAAATCGGGGAGACGTAAGACTCGGGTTCGGGAGACTCGGGGTGGCCTGACGAGGCCGCCAGGAAAATGACGAAACCCAATCTGAAAAATGATGAAACCCACTGCTGCACATCTCCCACGAAACCTGGACCGTCAAAATCCGGGACGGGCTCGTCGAAAAGCGTCGGCGGACCCGAGCTCGGGCGAACTCGCGTCTCACGTTTCCCCGATTCAAGAAGCTCAAGCGAGAGGAGGGAGCCGCAGGGCGAGTTGAGACAACGGCAGCTCAAAATAGGTCCCCTAGAACCCTCTGTTGAGCAGGGACCGACCGTCCCGGCATTCCTATAGTCCTACCACGAAATGTTCTTAGAGCCCAAAAATGTTCTAAGAAAAAGCAATGTTCTTAGAATATTGCGCGGAAGCCACAAAAGGTTCGTAGAACATTGCTTGGTAGGGCTATAGGCGAGCAAGGACGCTTCGCCACTGCTTGACTCCTGGGACCCAAACGCGTCAGGCTTCCGAGCTGCGCCCAGCCGTGACGACGAAGCCCTCCCCTCGAAGGCCAACTGCTTTTACCTTTGCCTTATGTTGCTCCCATCGTACTTAGGACCAGATCTTAGAAATAATTTCGAGCACCCGTAAAAGTGTCGAAATAATATCGAAACAGTGTCGAAAGAGTGTCTCCCAGGGCCCGACACGTGAAAACCCTCGAGTTGTTGGGTACTTGTCTGGTGCTTGAACTTCTTTCTGGCGATCAAAGCTAAAGTAGGTTGGAGCATCATAACCCCAGAACCCTCCTGGGACCCAAACGCGTCAATCTTTCGAGCTGTGTCCAGCCGTGGCGACGAGGCTTAAGTCGGGCACGTCCCTCTACAGGAGGATTTCGGGCGAAAAATGAGGAACAACAATAGTAATAAAAAAAAGTCACCAGACTATTTGTTGACTATGTTTGAGAGACAGGCCCGACTTAAGACGAGGCCCTCCCCTCGAAGGCCAACTGACTTTTACCTCTGCCTCCACTCGCCCTCCTCCTGCCGATCCCGCCGCCCCCCCCCCTCGCCTGGTGCTCCACCTTCTTGCCCGGCCGCACGCTCACCACCGCCACGCCAGCCACGTCCTCGCGCGGCGTGGGCGCGAGGAGGAGGAGGAGGAGGAGGAGGAGGAGGAGGAGGAGGAGGGAGCAGGAGGAGGGAGCAGGAGGAGCAGGAGGGAGCAGGAGGAGGAGGAGGAGGAGGAGGAGGAGGAGGAGGGAGCAGGAGGAGGAGGGAGCAGGAGAAGGAGGAGGGAGCAGGAGGAGGAGGGAGCAGGAGGAGGAGGAGGAGGAGGAGGAGGAGGAGGAGGAGGAGGAGGAGGAGGAGGAGGAGGAGGGGAGGAGGAGGAGGAGGAGGAGGAGGAGGAGGAGGAGGAGGAGGAGGAGGAGGAGGAGGAGGAGGACGAGGACGAGGAGGAGGAGGAGGAGGAGGAGGACCAGTGCAAACCCAGGAGTCATTCACGATGTTGGAATAAACCCTCCCTCCAGGCTCCCTCTTCAGGGGCTCCTTACAACGGCTCATTTCCACTGAGGGAACTGCCTCGTTGGAATACAACCGTTTGAGGACCCTGAAGCATGCCAAAACATTGTTCTCGGGATTCCAACGCCACGGTTCAACTTGGCTGTTGCGTTTTGACGATCCTGAATCGTGCCAGAACGCCTTTCTTGGGACTTCAACACCGCGAATGAATGTAACGATTCTTCCAAAACGCCATGTCTGGTACTCTAATCATGGGAACCCATGAAACTCCTCAAAATGTTCAAATCGAATGTGCGCGGCGCTGAGGCGGGTACCAATTTTTGCAAAGGAATCGCCTTCAATCCGTGAAACTCTTGCAAACAATTAAAACAAAAATTCGCGGCGCTAAGGCTAGAACCACATTTGAAAACAGGTTCCCATCCATCCGTGAAACTCTCGCAAATATTCAAAACGAATGCACTCGGCGCTAAGGCGAGAGCCACATTTTGAAAACCACCCGCCCTGCATCTGTGAAACCGTTGCTAGTGGTGAGAAAATCTCAGGCGAAACGCCCGGCCCGCCCTAAAAACTGGGCACGGAGTGCGACTGGGAGAAATAATTCATAAGGGAAAGGAAAAGGAACGGAGGAGGAGGAGGAGGAGGAGGAGGGGAATGAAGAGGAGGAGGAGGAGGAGGAGGAGGAGGAGGAAGAGGAGACGGAGGAGGAGGAGTGGCAGGAGGAGGAAGATCAGGAGGAGGAGGAGAGGAAGCGCGGCGACGTAGGCGGAGGCGAGGGCGGCGGCGCGAGCTTGGGCGGGCGAGCACGAGGAGCTCCGCCTGCCGGAATGGGCTCCCGCGCGCTGCCTCGGGAGCCTTGAGGCGGGGGGCCAGTGCCAACGCGGGTCAGCCAGGGCGCCGGATCTCGCGGGATCCCGTGGAGCCAGGGGTGCGCAGCCGTGGGCCAGTGCGTCCCTTCCATTGCTGTGCTCTGGCCAGGATCGCGGAGCGGCTCCAGCCGTGGCCGCGAGGTCGCCCCCGGAGTTCCAGAAGAGGTAGGTCCCCGACGCCCCGAGGCCCACATCCTCGAGCTCTGAAGACGAGGCACCCTCGCGAAGCCCCGAGGGCCCCGGGGCTCCTAAGTTGCATGGAAGACAACATGCCCCCTGGGCCGCGACACCCTGGCCACCTCCGAAAACTGGGCGTCGTTCCAATGGCGGCCGCATTCGGGACCCCAAACCGCGGGCGAAAGATGCCCCAAGACCCACGGCCAAGCTCGGAATGTAAACTCGGAAAAGAGCTCCCTGCCCACCGCGGAGACAACCGCCGAACTGTTACGAGAGCTCTTCGGCTGCCCTCGCTGGCTTCCCAGCGTGGAACCGCAGACGTTCGTCGAAACCCAACGCGAACAGACAGCCTCTCGAACAATCAGGATACGGTCTGCCAGAAAGACGTTCTGAATCCACACTCGGGTGTTCCTCGACATGAGCCATGAGATCTGACACAAACAAGTTGAACTTTCGGCATGGGTCTCCAGCGCTCAATGTCGCATAGACGTCGCAGACGCCGGGATGCGCGTTACGCGTAACAACAACAATTGAAGACAACTTGAACGCAAATGCCTACGCACGGAAAACTCGGCCAACCTCTGGAGGGTTGCAGAATAACCGCCAGACTAATTTGAAGAGGGAGAATTCGCTCATGACAGGTACCACCGTACGGCCCCTCACGGTCGCAAGCCACCTGTCAGACACACGCGAACCATCGTCCAAGGCGTGGTACAACTTCCCTCCCTCCGCCTTGGGATTGCGTCTTCTCCCATCCAGCGTGCCAAAAGGGCCGCGACCCTCAAACCATACAACTACAATACCACAATAGCAATTCATTTACGTTAGACCTGGACTGGCAAACATACCCCAATAACGCCTTAACAGGCCGCACAGGACTCCATCAACTCATCAAGTGTTTTTAAGATGTGGTCTGCCTGTCACCCTTACTCCCTCCGGCAAGAGACTCGAAGAAACCCCCAAGATCCCACCCAGCAGCCCACCAGAGGTGCCCGATCGCCGCACAAATGGCCCCAAAATGTCGCAGAGACGCCCGAAGAAGGCTCCAGTGCTCCAGTGCTGCCCAAGACCGCCCCAAGATGACCCAAGACCAGCAACGCGCCCGAGACGGCCACAGAAAAGGATCTCTCGCAACTGCCCCAGAAGCCCCCCACTCCAGACGATGGCGAGACCCTCCGAAATGGCACGCGGGCCACAGGTAAATTCCGAAGACTTGCGACTAATCTCACGTGCAGCCCTCCGGCGAGCCGCTGGGAGGCCCACCCGCGCGTTTCACACGTTACGGCCACCTGGGCCGTAGGTGAATCCACGGACACAATCGATGGCCTCGTCTTCACCGGGCAGAGAAAAGCTAGATGTGATTGCCCCCTTGGACGAGATGGAGAAAGGTGTCACGCGCTAGCAACTAACGAATACAGAAATCAACTCTCACATGATGCGATCTTCTGGATCCCGCGGAGGGACGTGCCACATCTCACGGCCCTCGGAAGCACAAAGCAGGAGAACGAAAACTACAATACGCGAAAACTGTAAACAAGACACTTCTGAATGGCTCTCGAAAAGACACCACACAAAGACTTACTTAACTAGCACGGTCCGCAACCACCTAGATAGAAAACTACTGCCACGCACAATCGACATGATGCCTGCAAATCGCTACAATATGGATGCTGCTGGTTTCCCAACGTGCAAAACTGTTCCGTCTTCACCTGCGGTGGGCACCAACCGGTTACTGCAATGAGAAACACGCCATAGACAAACAACAAACGAATCGTGTACAATGGTCCTCGCCATCCGTGTAGATGTATGCCCGCTCGCCTTGGCGCGACGATGCGAAGCAGTGAGGGTCCAGAGATGGGGAGACCACACGATGATGAAGACATGGCTGGTTGACGGGACTGGCTTCACTATGAACGAGCAGCGCACCAAGGTACAAGGCGAGACGAAAAAGGGCACGATACTTTCGAAGAAACATCTGGCACCAGAGCGGAGCTGCAACAATCAATTCGATGACGCAGTGTCTGCCTGACTTGTCCTTGCCAATAGGGGCGGTCTTCCGATTCTGCTCCGCATCGAAAGTCACGTCGACCTGCCAAGCCAACGAAAGGTTGCTCACACTCACGGCCAGAAAAATCGAACTCAGGAGACGTGGTGCACCTTCCAAGACTGTGGCGCTTATGGGGCCCTGGAGGCCTGGAGCGTTGTCTCATCCCGAGTCGTTCTTTGACTGGTGGCCCAGGGGGGGGGTCGTCCATCCAGCAAGGGCCCCCAGAGGCTGACTCCCCCTCGACGCGAAGGGGCCTGGGATCAGGGGTGAGCAATTGGAAAGCCCTGCGGTGGAAACCTCATCGTCGCTGTGCGACGTGAGGTTCCCACAATGCGTGCATCCATGGGCACTTACCAGATGGTAGGATGAAGGACACGTTTTTGACTGGCGTCAGCATCCAGTGCGCCTCCAAACTGGGACATGCGCTCACGCTCGGCCCCGCTGGGCGAACTACGGCGACGGCCCAAGAGGGGCCGCATGTACGATGAAACAAGGGACACACGGGGAAACCAAACCAGCACGCCGCATGCACGAGCAACTGATCTTGTCCAAGACAGACTGGTGAACGATAATGAAGACTGGACTCTGGAGCCTGATGGCCGACACGAACGCCATGAGAGCGGATGCCTCGAGACCCACTCGCCCGTGCCGCACGACGCAGGCAAGGAGAAGAAGGACTAGTGGAAGCCCAAGACTCATCAACGATGTTGGAATTCATCCTCCCTCCAAGCTCCCTCTCCATAGGCAATTACCAAAGGTTCATTGCCACTGGGGGAACTGCCTGATTGGAAGAGAACCGTTTGAATACCCTGAAGCGTGCCAAAACACCACGCCACGATTCAGCATGACTGTTGCGTTTTGGCGATCCTGAATCATTCCTGAGAACCATTCCTGGGACATCAACACTGCGAATCAGCGTAACTATTGCGCCCTCACAATCAGGAGCCCGTCCAAAACAAAAATCTGGCACGTTGGCAACAAGAATTCGTTGACCTCTTGCAAACTTTTTGGAACGAATGTGCGCGGCGAGCACAAACATAATTTGAAAACGATCCGCCATCAACCTGTGGAACCCTTGCACATGCTTAAAACGATTATGCGCGGTGCTAAGGCGATAACCACATTCGGAAAACCAGCCGCCCTCAATCCGTGAAGCTCTTGCGATATGTTTAAACGAATGTGCGCGACGCTGAGGCGAGAACCATATTTGGAAAACCACCCGCCCTCAATCCGTGAAGCTCTTGCAAAATGTTTAAGCGAATGTGCGCGGCGCTGGGCGAGAACCACATTTTGAAAACCACCCGCCCTACATCTGTGAAGCTGTTGTCAGTTTCTGAGCTTCAGGGTCATACGTGGTGTGGAGGTCTCGAGCAAAACGCCCACCACGCCCTTTCGACCAGCCTCGGGGCGCGACAGGGAGGAGCTACTTACGAAGAAGAGGGATAGAGGTCGGTCGGACTGGTCGGAATGCCAGCAAGACTCGGCTGCAGTTGCGCCCATGGCAGGGGGAGGAGGAGGAGCGGCGGCGGCGAACCAGATCCCCGACGCCCCCATCTTTTCACAACGTGGCACCCCAGAAGTCTCGACTCCTCCCCCAGGACCCACGTTTCGCCCCGAGACAGCCTCTTTGTTACGGCCCCTCGAGCCCGGAGAGACACCCCCTCCAACCGCAGCGTTTCTCCACGACGCGAGGGAGCCCTGGGAGGGGAGGACGAGTTAGCGACGCGCGGGGGGGGTTAGGGGGCGGGGGGCAGGCTTCTCAGAAGGAGGCTGCTTCTTAGAAGGTGCCAGCCTGACATCTGCAGACAAGGCCCGCGCCTCTCCTAAGACGCAGGGGTGCTTCTGAGGAGCCTTCCCCCCTCCCCCTACCGCCCTGTGCGCGCCGCCAACGTAGGAGGAAAGATAACTATGCAAATACACCGACTCTGGCCAGGCCCACTCTGAGCCCAGGATCGGTGCACACGCCCTCCTACCTTGGCTAGGAAGGCATATGCACCGATCCTGGGTCAAAGATGGGCCTTGCCAGGATCGGTGCATGTGCATAGTTCTCTTCGCCCGACAACGAAGGCAAGGACGACGACGGCGGCGAGGCATGAGGTGGGACCTGCGCTGCCGACCCGCGTCGGCCCCCCACCCCGCCCCGGGGGGAGGGGAGGTCGGGGGAGCCCCAGCGAGCAGCGCTGCAGGGGCCCTCTCACCCTCTCTGCCCTAATCTCAAAAAGCTCCACACACACAAAAACAACAACAGGCAGCGCATGTTCCATGGAGTACACCCTGACCCCGCCAAGGGCGAGGCTGAGGTGCTAGATGAGCTTTTAAAGCTGTCCAGCTTGTAAACTTATGAATCTAGAGAACCCTTGGCACACAAGGGTGGGGGGGGGGGACGCTTTTACGCGAACCGTTTCCCCTGCTCCGCCGAATATCTTAGGAGATTTAATCAATTCCGTAGGAAATCTTCCCACGCGCGAGCAATTCAAATTCATCCCCTTGTTGTCCCCCACAATGGTTGGCCAGCCCGCCGGGTAGATAACTGCATCTGTAGTTTTCCCGTCGGTCCTAGTTGCAAAATCAGCGCTGAGTCCGGGTCAAATCCAGAAGCCACCAAACACCATCTCTCTTCCTGCTTCTTGTTCTCGTCATCCTCGCCGAAATCGACCTCGTCGTCCTCTTTCTCGTCGTCGGCGTCCCTCGCCTCGCCTCCTCGTGCTCCGTCCCTCGTCCTTGAAGAAACTTTACGTTTCCTGGTCTGGAGAAGAGAAGTGTAGTGGTGACCGAATTTGTGCCCGAAATCTGCACTAGTGACCGACACCGGCGCCTGTTTTTTTCCCAAACGCGCCCGAATCTGAGAATTAGTGGGGGTTCAATGTCAATCCGATTCTCATTTCGGTCACAGGTTCAGTCGCACGATGGTTTCTGCCACAACTGCGGACACATTATCGATTATTGTCTTTTCGGTAACACACCTCTTTGACTGATAGGGGCCAAGCGCCATGAGAAACGTTTCCCTGCCGCGCCACCAGACGGTCCAGACGTACCGCTCAGGCGAACCGCCCGAGTCTTCTTCACCGCTAACAGCCTTCAATCTTAACAATTCAACGGCTACACCGCGGGAGGGCGTATCGTTTTTAACATAGAGTTCTCGCCTTGACGCAGCGCAAACTCGTCCGACAAAAAATGGACACATACATGGATGGAGGGTGGCTGAACATATGGTCTGTCTTCTAAGGTTAGGTCGGGCATGTCCTCCTACAGACAGAGTTTGAAAGAAACATGAACAATAGTCAACTACTACTCAAACATGGTAAAACATAGGCGAAGCATCGTCCCCAGACTATGTTGTCAACTATTCTTAGATACTCCTCCTGCAGAGGGACATGCCCGACCCAATCCTAAGGCCTGCGGGGGGATCACGCGATCCACCATCGGTGGGCCTGGCTCGTGGCCTCCCTGTTCTGGCTCGCGGTCATACAATGGAAGCCAGTCCACAAGAAACCTTCCACAAGAAACCCAACCCTGAGACCCCGGGATGCCCACTGAATTTTGATGTGGGAACGTCACGCTCTCCGTGGCAGAACCATCGAAACCCAAGAAACCCAGCGCACGCTGGAGGCAAGCAGGGTGTTTCTTGGCATGGGCCTCCACAGCAGCACCTGGGTGTTGGAATGGGGAAGGAAAACAGGGACCACGACAAAGATCGGGATCCACCAAAAGGGGGGACACCTGAGGGGGGGCATGAGTTCGATCCGATGGTGCCAAAGGCAGTGGATGGGAGGAGGGAGGGGGAGAGGAGCAGGAAGGAAGGAACGCGGGGCGCTGCTTCTTCAAAACGAGGACCCAACACCACAGGATGGCTGGGTAAAAAGCATGCGCCGTCCCGAGAAATCACGACCTGAACTCCATGCCCCACCTTCTTGCGGCACTCCGAACTCCATCGACATACGCGGGGGCCCCGGGGCCGAGCCGGCCTGCGGCGCCCAGACCGCCGGGCCGGCCTGGACAGAGGTACGCGCGGTACCCTGCAGCACGCCGAGATTGGCGGCGAGCGAAAGGGGGGCTATGAGGAGGAGAAGGCCTTCTCAGAAGGCGGCGGAACTTCTCGCAAACCCTCGCGCCTTCTGAGATGTTGATTCTGTCTTCGAGGGAGGCTTTGGAAACTTCCCAGGAGGCCGGGGGACTTCCGAGCCTTCTGAGAAGGCCTTTTCCTTTTCGTTTCCCCCCTTTCGCCCGCTGTCGACGAGAGACCCGGCCGTCGTCCCAAGCGGACCGTGCACGTGGAGCTGAAGAGGTTGCCCAGCATCGAGGACATGGCCGCGGGGCGCGCGGGGCCCGGCGCCGCGCCCTTCGGGCTGGAGGAGGGCGCGCTCGAAAAAAGGGCGGGGGGGAGGGAGCCCGGCGGCGTCCCACCGCTGAAGAGGCAACCTCTGGGAGCTCCTTCGCGGGCGCGACCCCCCCTGACCCAGACATCCCAACTCAGTATGGTCTCGTCACTCCGCGGCCCCACGAGTCCCGACCCCTCCCCTGCATGAGGGAGGCCGTTGTTCCGTCCCGGATCCTTCTCTGATGGCTCCAGGGCCCGCTGACGGGCCGCAGGGGCCGAAATCGAAGAAAGCAGCCCGGCTTGATACGATCAGACCCTCGGAGGTCTGAGAGAAGGGCACCCCGCGTCGTGATAAGAGACTCACGGCGGGGCCCCCGCTGGGGGCCTTTGCCCGGCTCCTGGGGCCTTCACAACAAAGTAGCGCGGCTCTCGGAAGGAGCAACTAATACAAGAAACTGCATGACGCCAGCGGACACCGAATTAAAAATAGCACGGCTCTCGAAACACTGACCCAGCCCCAAAGACTCCCAAAGGGGCCCCCAAGAAACATCTTTGGAAACCACCAGTAAGGCCCAAAAGGCCCACTGATGCCCACAACAACCCTCCAGGAGGCCCCTGAAAGGCATCCCGCGAACACCTCAAATTCTCATCAAAAGAGCTGCGAACACACCGAATAATTTCCAACCGGGGGGTCGGCGGAATGGCGTGAGCCACTTAAAATAATTTCGCCGACCCCTTGGAATTTCGTCGGCGCCCCTTCCCATACCCCTCTCAGACTGTTCCAAATGCGTCCAGCACATCTAAGATTACCCAAGTAGATCACAACAAATGCCCATCATATGGCGGGCCAATACGGTGCCAAAACGGCCCCAAATGGCCCAGGGAACCGTCGCTTCGGCCCCAAAAGCCCTCCACCAAGGCCAAGAGAGGTCAAACTCATAGTTTCGCCGTATTTTCTTCTCCTAAACCCCGATCCCTGCATGATTCTGACAATTTTACGTAAACCTGAAGAAGCCACCTCGTCTCCCGATTTGGAGGGATTTAGTCCTGCATTGCTCACGATCATCCATTAGAGACGTGGTGTGGCGCACTTCGCCACGCGAGGCGAATTCCGAAACTCGCACGGTCATCCATTGAACATGTGCGCGGGCGACATCCCGCGCGCGCCGCCGAAGGCAGACACTTGCTTGCCCTTTGCGATCGTACGTGTGGCGCGGGGCACGTCCCGCCCGCGCGGCTGGTCTGCGTCCCTCACGATCGCCCACCAAAGCGGTGCGGCCCACATCCCACCCACGAGGCGCCCGCTCGGGGGCGCGCCCTAAGGACCGCCGCGCGCCACTGAACGGCCCCGGACACCAAAGCTTCCGCGCGTTCCTGTGCTGCTCCTCCTGCCTGCTGTTCCTCCCTCGTGCTCCGCACTGCTCCTCCCTGCACTTCCCTGGCTGCCGCCTTCGTCCGCCCCGAAAACGTTCGCCTCGCGTTCCCAGGCGTTCCGCTGCCGCGACGCCCGTGCGGCCTTCCCCGCTCCTTGCATGCACAAGAGCGTGTGTCTGTCTATGGAATGGGTTTCTAGGGTGGGCGGGATGTGAGCACCGCGCCAGTGTATGACACATCCAGTATGTTGGCATCGTCACGTTCGATTCAACTCCCAAACGCCGCGTTGTGTTTCTACCTACCCGCCGCGCGTCCTTGACGCGGTCTACGACAGACAAGGGTGACTCTGAGATGCGTCAGCAGGTTGCCCGAATCGTTCGCCAATGCAGCCCTGGGCTGCGCCCCACACTGGGAGTCGCGCTTCAACGATAAAGCGCGCCCCTTGAATGGGGACTCCACTAACGGGCACTTTGGCCAGCGGCCCGACGAACCCAATCTTCCGCGATGTGGGCAACGCTGCGATGCGAGAATCAGGCCCCTAAAGTGGAAACTTTCGGAGCGCCTGGCTAGCCAGCGCC